CAAACGTGACGACACGGGAAGTTGTTCTAAACTCATCTATCCTGAGCACTTTTATAATGCATACCATTTATGAAATAATACATATTAGAAAACCCTTCCAACATGACTAAAATTTACAAGCACATTTTTAAAAGACCATAGTCTGGATAAGGGAAGTGCTTTAACGTTCATACCCTTAAATGATCGATTATCTGCCGCTTCGTTATTAATTCATTAACAAGTTCTTCATTTCGATTTTCAGTTCCTTCCACTGTTTCCTGCTTGCTGATCTTCAATCCTTCCAGTTCATCTTGAAGCTGTTTGTTTGATTTCATAGCCACTTCAAAATCCTGAAATGTTGCCCAGATGTCATCAAGATATTTTTTATCTCAAAAGTTTTAAAGCTAATATACAAATAACAGTTTATTCGTATATAATTTACTCTTTTGAGCGCTGCTAAGATTTCTTCCTCTTTATTTTTGATTTCATTAATTTCCTGTTGATGTCTTTCTTTATTGGATTCAATAGAAATAGATAGTTCTTCCACTTGCTGTCGATGCCTTTCTTTCATATCATCCAAAACTGACTTCAAATGCAATTTCTCCTAAAAAATTTGCTAGCCGTAAGCTCATGCAAATTCTGAGACTGTCCTGCTTGCTTATATATCTTTTATTAAAAAATAGAGCATGTTCTAACAAGCTAGCGTAAAATTATTCACTGCAGTTTGTGTGTTGAAACTTATAAAATATGGAACAACCGCAGTGAGCTGTTCCACTTGAACGCCCAAATTCTCATTCTTTCGATCATGTTCCATTACAGCTGCCACTTTTTGCATTTCTCGTTCCTCGATAGCCAGCTGCATCTGTTCTTCTTGTTCTTTAAATTTCAAAGCCCATTGCTCATCCTGAAATCTAGCAGAATGTTCATAACTGTAAAATTTTCACCGTATTTTAAATAACATATTTAAAAGTGAAATCTCGAAACGAGATAATCAGGTGTAAAAAATTCACCTATAACTGGAAAATATGCGAAAATAAGCCAGTTACTACTAAAAGCTACACAAATATTTTAATTAACTACATATACTCAATGAAGAGATAAACATACATTTTTCATAATCATTTCCTGAAAAAGTCGTTCGTCTTGCTCTCTTTCCTCTGCCCGCTTTCTTTCCATTTCTCTCCTTAACTCTTGTCGTTTTGCCTCTTCTTCGCATCGTATTGCTTTAACACCTTGTTGCTTCGCCTCCGATAGTTTTTTTACCATATCTGCTTTTTCATTTTCCAATGCATCTACAGCTGCCTTCAACTCATCAATTTGCGTTTGCATTTCTGCCCCTGTAAAAAAAAATCTTTTTGAAAGCAGCCTTCAAGATACAACAATATTTTTCTACCAAATAAGAAGTCCGAAGGTTTTCTCTTCACTCACTGCCGATATCAGAGTCTAAGCGTTCAGTACTATTCATATGTATGCGGAGCGTTTTTCTTAGTTTGTGTATAGTGTAAAGCAGCACTTATATAAAATAATCGGAAGTGGAGCGACCGGATTTCATAAAAATCTGTTTACAGAAAAATAAAAAAATGACGAAAAACCTTAATTTTCCAATCAACCATCTAAAAATGAAAACTATCTTATCTTTTTTTTATTGTTTACTACAGATCTCTGGAAGATTGAAAACATTAAAGAATCACCTACACATAAAATTTCTATTCTCTACAAGAAGCCAACATTTGGAAAGAAACAAGAGAATGAAATTTGCTAAACGAATGATACAAAAAAAAAAAAAAAAAAAATACTACCATTTAATTCGAGAACCTTGCATCTGGCACGAGCTATCTGTAGTTCGCCATCCTTCTCCTCTAAAGCTCTGTGCATTTCTGCCTTCACCTTGGCTATTGCAAGTGTACTGCTGCAATAGTATTGGCCCTTATTGCAACAATATTATAGTTTTTATCCTTTTTTTTTTTTTTTTTTTTTGTTTTTTATCCGTTTTTTTATATTACTCATTTACTCATCTAAATAATAATACTAACGCTTCTTCGGAATCAGAAAAGCGTTTAGACCATTCCTCCTCCAGACAATCTACACGACCCTTCCATTCCGCAGTAACTCGTCGAACATCTAAATCGCTAATTTTTTGCTGCAACATTTTAAATAATCTATTCTCAATTTCTTTTAAAAATGATAATTTATGACAGATATTTTACAACGTATTAACTCAAGATCATGACTAATCCATTCCATAATCCTGGTGAGTTCAACGCTTATCACTCTCAATCAGAACAGAGGTAATTTTTTTTTTTTTTTTTTAAACACATAGCTTCCTTTAAAAAAAAAAAAAAAAAGGATAAAGAAATTTAGAAGAAGTCACTACCACTTATCAATCTTCTATTATAATAAAATAAAAAGCCAAAAACTTCAGTTCAGTTGTTTAATAATAATATGAGATGACCGGAAAACACTAAAATAATTCGACTGAAAAAACATTAATTTCACGTTTTAGCTATACATATTAGGAAGCAGTGAAAATAGGCGCTTACTTCATCATACGATGTTACAGTGTTTCTTATTAGTCCTTCATTTTCTTCTGTTAGTTGTCGAATTCTTTCCTTCTTTTCTTCTATACATAAGCGATTTTTTTCCACTAGTTCTTGTAATTCTCTTACCTTACCTTCTGCTTTGCTTTCTTCCTACAAATAACTCTGTACTATTATTTTTCATCTCTAGCATGCAAAACTCATTTCAAGCTCTACTAATTTAACACAATAGACTACACTACAGGAATTGACACTGAATATCTCAAGATAATTAAAATTTGACAAAAGGACAAAGTGAATCTATTATATCAGCCTCTTCGCTTATTGTTAATATTCGTTTAATTTATACTGATCAGGTATTCTTGCCTTGTTTTTTCTTTCAAGCTCCATTTTGTGCATTTTTTCTGTTAGCTCGCGATTTTTTTCGCGTAATTTCCCAATTCTATCGAGCGCTTTATCCTGCATAGCCGATAATACATACTGTAACAAAGAAATTCATTATTTTTGTGAGATAGAATGTTTTGATCTTATCAAATTTATTGGGAAAATATTTTTTTGATTTACTTTACACTTTACACAATGATATAAATTATCATTGTTATTTGCACTTATATATTTTCCTACAGTAAATATTGTAAATTAAAGTAATTTTTCAGTACTATAAATAATATAAATGAAGGAAATTTTTCTATTTTTAAATGGAGTAACATGTTAATATCTGTGCTTCTTAATTTCATAGCACAAAAGTGAACGCTCTCACCCGATATTTTTCGTTCTCCCGCAGTAACTCACTGTACATTTGCATAAGTCGTCGATATTTATCCTGGTAATTTGCCGCACGACCTTGCAATTTATGTAAAACTGTTGAGATCTAAAACCAACCATAACATTCCGTTTTGTTTATGATCTAATAGAATGAAAGTGAGGAAAATTCCAGTTTAAAAACCTCTTAAAGATGGAATCTGATACTAACTGCGATTGACAGACTTTCGATATCACCACTACTTAAAAAAGTTTGAAATTCTGGTCTAGTTCTTTGGAATTCTTTTAATGTCTTCTAAAAACAGAAAAAAAAAGAAACTGTGATTTTATAAAACCTGTTCCTTTGAAGCATTTTGAAACAAGGATGAGGTAGTCACACTTTCACTCTCCACATCTGATGTTATTGTATTGAGCCGATGATCGGAACTTAACATTCCCGGTATAGCAGTAAATAAATTACTGAATGAGCTGAAACGTGTCAGCTCAATGATTTAATTAGATATTTGTGACCGTATTAAGACTACCCTCTGAAAGTATTTGAAAGTTTGATTTATACATCAAACAGACCAAAGACCGTTAAACTATCGACACGGAAAATGCGACATGCCATAGTAAAACATTGACAACCTCTCGCTTTCGAAAGAACCACTTGAATTATGTCGCTGTTGTGACTCACTGAGCAAATCTTGTTCGGGTATTTCTTGCATCATAGCAGAACTATTCGGATTCCGCTCATTCTAGAAAACTTCTATTAATCCCCTTCCTTTCTTAAAAAATGTGAAAATAAGAATGAAAGTACCAATTGTTCTGTATCGAAATTATTTCCAGAGTCATCAACAAAAAGACTTGGAGAGAAGAGTGAAGAATCCCTCCTGGTATCATGTGCGTGACCACCTGCGTCATTTCCAATGTCGTTCTAAAAAAATATTTTCTTGATGACATGAACACCACTTTATCTTCACTGTATTTGAAACTACAGAAAAGTCATACCACACCGGATCGTACTTGTTGGGCAATATTTTCGCTGTACTGTGATACTGTTGCATGCAACCTTCTCGCTTCATCTTCCAACTTTGATTTTAATCCTTTGAACATATCAAATTCAACTCAACCTCAAAAAAAGAATAGAATATGAGAGTAAGAGCTCAAGTCTGAAACACAGCATCGATGTGGTTTTTCCTTCCCATCTGTCCACTTTATTGATCCAACTGATTCCTAGTATTAAGAGATTTCGATTCTAAACACTAACCTAACCACTTCTTCCCCTTGTTTATCCTAACAATTAGAACTTACACATCGTAGCATAATCTCTCATATGATAACGACTGCAATTTCTATAAGATGAATGCACCGCAGCTTCGGCCTCCAATTGAGTTTAACCACTGATTTCTCACAAATAGCTTTTTGTCAAAGTATTCCTCATGTAAAATACGGAACACCAAGAAAGTTAACTTTTGTAATTAAAGATATGGTTGAAATGCTGTCATTTATTATTATCTAGAAGCATTCATAACAGCAAAATAACAAAATCTGCACAAGCAAAACTGATAACTTTCACCGAGGTATTTACGTGGTATACAAGATGAATTTGAAAAATCATGTGCATTACTGGTATAAAAACAGCGCTCTCTTCTGCAACAATATGACATTATCAAAATAGTTATGTGGAAACAACTGACGCTAAAACAATTATGCATTCATATTCAGAATGCATGCAACGTATCAACTCCTATCAAGAGCATCAATGAAACTATTGGATACTTGTAAATGATATCTTGTAACTTCGTCGATTGTTTGTCTAGCTAAATAACACATGTCGAATAAATTGTCGACCGACTTTTGAAGGTATTTCGCATCCAGACTCACGACCTCACTAAAATTCGAAATTTCGAAACTTTGCATATTTATGCCATGAGAAAAAAGAAAAAAAAAAGAAAGAAATTAGAGAATAAACCAAAGGAGAGAGGAGACAATGATGAACCAAATGGGGTAAAAATATATCACACGAGAACAAAGTTTCAAATTTAAGAAAAACTGAGCATATTAACATACACAACCAAATGATGCCCTTGCACATTGTATGTTCGTTTAGCTGTGCTCCTCGACGGTTCTTTGTCAACTGCTAAGGTTCTACAAATTATTTGAGCCTTCTTTTCATTTTCTAAATCAATGTATAATATCCTGAAAAAAAAAAAAAAAAAAAGACAATATTTAATCACATCACAAATACTGTCTAAGTTATTTTAAGTTTAGAAAAAATTCAATACAGGCACGGATTAGATGAAACAGTGAACATATACGAGAGAATTAGAAACTAACGCCTTGTGATTTTCACAAGCAGTCGTTGATTCTAAGGTACTTTCATTGCTGAAATCCTCCGAATTATTTAAAACTTCGCGTTTATCATCGCTCGTTATAGAACCCAAAAAAAAATATATATATATATATATTTTTAACAAGTATACAAGTATATATAACAAGTATATAAAGGTAACAAGTATATATATATATATATATATATAATCAGAACATAATAAACACACTTCTACAAGTTGTATAAGATTCAACGAGATCTACTTCTGATCAAAATGAAGAACAAAGAAAACAAGAACATACCTACTGACAGTTTCATTAGTTCCTCCATATCATTTTTAGATCATTTTGAGGTGCTGCAAATAAGCAAAATCTTGAACGTAAATGGTAGAATATCTGAAGCAATATACTCAAGCATGGATTACATGATGACGAGTGGTAACAAGTATATTGTTTTCTTTTTTTTTACTATTAGGCTTATCTACTAGGAAACAAAGATAAACTGAAGAGAGTACCAATTCCGTTCAAGAACGGAGGAAAAACTAAGACTAAATCATCGCATTTAATTTTTCAAGATACTATCCCGAATATTTATACTTCAACCCAGTGGTCACTATCCCACTTACGAAATAATTTCTTTGTTACAATGACCGATGCATACATTTTACAGACTCCGGAGACAAAGACAGATGGAGAAATAATGGTTCCCAACGAAATCCATTCTAAATTCAACTTGCATAAATACGGCCTGTTATTTTGCAGCAGGTCGTCGGCATCGCTGCAGTACTTCAAATGAACCTTCCCGAAAGTTAAGGCAGGGAGTTTCCAGTTGTCCAGAAGAGTGGTTGGTCATTTGTTGTGAGTTGTTGAGTTGGACTTATATGGAACTGGAAAGTCTGTTTATTGCTCATATTTTACTACGCTTGCAAAAAAAAGCATTGAAAAAAACAACAAACAAAAATAAGAAGAAACGTAACCGTTGCAAAGAAATACTGCCAGCATATCAACAAAATTATGTTATGCTATCTCTTTGCTATTACATTTGTTCAATTATTTAGCCATTATGTTATCCACACATTCTGTAATATCTTAACCTTAGCATTGTCTGTTCGTTTCATAGAGACGGGGATGGATTTCTAATTTTGTGCATTGTAGTTTTTTAATCTTTTATTAATGTTATTGTTATTAACGTGTAAAATTTCTTGACAAATATATAATGTTGTGTAATCTTTTTCATGTTTATTCATCGATGAGTGAACAAAAGATATTATCATTGAAGTGATAACAGCAGTATCGATGCAGAATTGCACCAATTTTTGGAAGTTAATGGTACAGGAAACAATATTAGATATCGTTTGGGAACAAATTCACTCAGAATCTTGATGAAATGGATGGTTAGTTAAAGGAGGATGAGAGGGAGCAATAGAGCAATCACGCTATTGAGGACATTTATGACTACATTTGAAAGTGATGGGACTTTATTTGTTATAACTGATGTCATTTTATTGTTGTTTGTTAATGCGTGTGCATTTTTGATTTCAAAATTTTGCGTATGAACTGACAAACTTTTAACTTTTACGATTGATGCCACTTCCGCTTACTGATGATTATAGCAGTGAGGACGATGATTTACAGCAACATTTCTAGGGGTAGTGCTGAGATATAGAAAATTTGTTTTGCTATTTAAGAAATTCACTTTGCACCCCTTCATTCTTTCAGATTTGTTGTACTGAACGATGGTGGTTGTGTGCTTAATACTTGCTCTGTTCTTGGTCAGTTTTGAATGCAAGCTGGTGATATTAAAAGAGATGGGCTGATTATGTTTTACATTCTAATAATGATTTTCGTTTCGATCACGTTTTAGTTTTTCCTATCAGCTTTAATAATGATAATAACGCACAGGATATAACGATATGCTAATTAATTTACAAAGTGGCATTGGAATTTTTTCCTTTTAAGCTTCAACTGATAAATCTGTTTGCTAAGTCTCAGGCATCAAATTCCATTGTTTATAATATGAGCAGCCAAGCATTGACTGGTATGTTGATTGTTTCTTTCACTCATCTCTCTTCACTAAATGGATTTCGGAATTGAGAAATCGGTTATCAGTAATTCAGATTCTCTCTCTGTCGGCAAAGATTGTTTGTGCTGAAATTATGAAGAAATCAAAGAGATGAAGTGAAATTTTTCCACTTAAAGAATTCAAAACATACTTCATTTGCAAAATTGTTGTTTATTCCTTTGGTTGCCGAAGAATTGTTCCTTATTTTAATGTCAATTTTTCGAGAGTGATTAGTTTAATATAAGAATTAGTCTACAGTTCTTTCTTCTAATACTAAGTAATTTAGGAAAAGTTCAAATTGTTTCATACTTTTTATTTGCAATGTTGTAGTTTTCCATGAAAGTTCTTTTCTTTTTGTTAATGATGATTTGTGACTATTCTTGCAATTCAGCTATCATTTTCCTAAATTGCTTATGAATTGCCCAGCTGTCTCATTTTAAGCGCAAAAATTGTTATGACAATATATTTCACGCCAATGACTGGATACGTATTGCGCTACATGTGTTTGGACATTCCCGCGATAATTCTTCACCAGATCTATGTATCATCTTCATTTTAATAATATTTTTAGAGAAAAGTGAAATGATGATGTCTATTTAAATCCTTTTTTCGTGTTACTGACACAATCTTGCTATTGGAGTTTTTGTTGTTAATCCAAACTAATTTGTTTTATTTTCTCAAAAGAGCCCTACTATCACTAAAAGTATATATTTTACTTTCAAAATGAAATAGTGAGATGAAATGGTATGTGGATCCTTCCTAATTAACGATAATTCAATGAAATGAAAAATGACGCATATGTGAATTGCATATAGAAGTTCTAACTTCATCAAATGACCTGATTGCTGAAGTTGCTAGACCATAATTTTCAGATAAAAATTTCAAAACTTAAAATGAGCATACAATGTATGGGTCCTCAACAATCATTGCTTGCTTACTTCTCCAATGTTATTTCCATAGCCCTCTCTCTTTTTTCAAAACGGCTTTGATCATAAATCTTTAGAAACCCCTGCGTGAACTCTCCAGTCTTGTACAGATTTAGAAAAACCTTGAAGAAAGTATAAGCGAAGTTATTTCATTCCTACTCTCAAAAAGGCTGAAAAGATTGAAAGATGTTATTCCTCCAATTGTGTTTGCCGATATAACTCTTTAGCATATTGAAACCTAATAACGTTCCGTTTTTGACTCTCTGTTATAAGTTGTCCCTTCATTTTATACGTTACCTTCTTGTTCTTTCCACTATAGCATTATTTATTACTGTATACAGTTTTCTTACCCAGTATTTGAACCTAAAATTCTATAAAGGAGTGTAACCATAAAGAAGATCATAATTGGCAATGTGGATCATGTCGTTTTCAAATCAATTTTCACTGCTAATTCTGCAAATTCGAAAGTAACAGATTTGTAGCAGTGACCTTTCCTTTGTGTGCAGTGTGGAACTAATTGAGCGCATAGATGAACTTGGATTCCAAATCATCTGCGTATCTGAAACGTGTGAACCGTTCTTAAATAGTTTTTCTCTTTTTAGTGGGATTTGGTGCCTTCCGATGAAAGAAAAGGTAGGAAAAATGATCATAACAGTCAGTCTTATTTTCAAAAGGCAAATCTACTAATATTTGCAGTAAACACCAGCAGTAAACACCATTTGTGAGTAGAGAGACTTTTTGTCGATGATGATTTATAGTTCTAAAAAATCTGTTTGATGCATTTCTATTTTTTTCCTTTCCAGAAAAAAATTTTTTTTTGAATTAGGGTAAACTTAAAAATTCTTCCTACTACGAAATAATTGTATACAGAAAGTTTAGATAGTAATTGTCGAGCAAAAATATCAACATTTTTCTCTATGTAATATTGGATAAATATGTATTCAAGATCGAGATAATTTAAAAAAAAAAAAAAACACTTCAATTGGCAAAAAGAATGTCATTATAAATAGAAAAATCTGAACATGCATCGATGAAAATTGCATGTTACTCTTAAAGGAGAATAACGTGAACCAAAGGAGAGAGAAGGAAATAGATATCTATTTTTAAAAGTATTGTTTCTTTAAAAGTATTCAATGAACAAATTGAAAAACGATTATTTGAAAAGAGCAAATTGATTTCTTCATACTTTTTCTGTTCATTTTGTGGCTTATTTTCCCTTATAATCATCGGATCCCATATAATATCTGAAGAAAATAACCTTACTTTACGTGATAAAAACCTGTTATTGTATCACAGATCAAAGATTTTGTTATAATAATTGCGCCATCATTGTATAATAAGTAAACTATGAAAAAACACAGTATTTCATCCAAGTACTTCATGTCCTAATAGCTACGCAAATAAGTGCTCTAGGAGTTAATGCATCAACCTGAATGGATTATAGAGAATAGTGCTGAGACCAGGTCACGAGTACAGTGTGATTACTCACTACGACCCTAATGAGCCTAATATTCACATTACTTTTTCTTACTGTTGCTGCTTTCCATGTGCAGTTCGTTCATACATTCATTTGGCGATTCAATGAAGGGTTCGTTTAAATTTAAGTTTTTATCACTATCATACTTTAGTGTAGTTCGGAATATCATCGCTATGCCAAAACTACATTAATCAATAAGTATCTCACATTCGGTTAGCAGCCTTACTGTGAACTAATCCCTAATTTTCTTTGACAACATTTTAGAGAAGGTAACATTCTCATTTTCCAGGACCTACCTATATCGTACTCGATTAGACCTTGTGTCTCTTTCTACTTACTACGAAGGACCAGTAACACTTGTCCTATGTGATAGTTGTTGAAGAAACAATGTGCAGAAAGAGCACTTCAAGTTTTATTTATCAAAGCAAATAAGTGATATCTTACAGATTAGATGAGCCAGTAACAATGTCACGTAATCTACGAGCCAAAGAAATTTCACCACCCAGTTATATGAAACGCTTCGAACGTGAACCAAACGAACAGCTGTTGCGACATATTTGGTTAAATATTTTACAACCGAAAATGCTGAGGCGTCACGATTTGTCGCAACCATTATTTTATTTGCCTTTGTGGAAAGAACATTAAAATCGTTCCCACATCAAATAAAAACAATCCTAACCGCAATTCCAGATCACACGGTTGCTATTATTACTAGTAATGAAGGGTTCAAAAGTATTACTAATAATACTTTTGCTGGAACCATTATCACAACTTGTTATGGATTAATGTGTTGAAAATTGGTTGAGTGTGACTGCGGATGGCACTGATTTGCACAGAAGTTATGATAGAGCTTCTCTAAAACACACCAACCACAGTCTAGTGTAACCGGACCTTAAGAAGTATTATAACCATGATGCATACTCCTCACTTTCTCTAATTCCAAAGACTTAACAAGCCAAACAATCAGCTTATTCAGAGTGTTCGTCATTTAAAAGCAATAATGATTTGATTCTGATCTAAGAAAGTCAGTATATCTAGTGCCTTCTTGATCTACTTTTAAACTTTGGGGAAGTTTTTTTCTAAGCTTTTAAACTAAAACTTTTTCTTTCTTTTTAAAATTTTTCGTTTCTGCTTTTGTTATTCCTCAACACGAGAATAACATAAGATTATGATTAAGGATTCCAAACAATTTACTATTTCCATTGATGCTGATAACGTGATTTAATTATGGTACTGCGTAAACACAAGCAACTATTAAAATTATGATACTGCTACTATAGGCATCACTTTTATTACTTATAATTTAATTTACAAACGCACAAATATCAAAAATTAAAAGGAAAACGGAAAAGAGAAGTATCGGAAATTAAACTATTACCATTCTACAAAGAAAACCAAAAAGTAACATTTATGATGCTAGCGCACTGTCAAATTCATCGAAAGTGATGGAATCTTTTTGTTTCTTCATTATATTTCTTTTAATTTCCGAAAATGGACCAACGTTCGCAGATCCTTAAATTAATCATTCCACGAAAATTTGGTTTTGAAACTTTAAAAAATAAAAGATCTAAAAAGAAAAATAAATCTCAATGATTGCATAAAACACAAATGCGAAGCAAAGGTGACTTATTCAAAATTCCTAACATTTGACAAATTAATAAATTACTGGTTAAGTTATGGAAACTTCGCACTCTTAGCCTGAAAATGTATTTGAAACTATTAAACATCTTAGTAAGTCTTCCTTGATTTCGACGAACTATCTTTATATAAACAAACTTGCAACTGAATACCGAAATATATGTCATGCAGGTACTGCAACTGAGGAAAATTTTACTGCTTGCGACATTTTCGGACGAAAGTATTTGTTTTCATAATCAAATGGCTTAATAGATGATCTACATAATCACAAATTGAATGTTTCATCTTTCTCGAAATACAATATGTTTAGCAATTATACTGTAATGACTTTTACTAGTTTTTTTCATCCGAAAATTTAAACTATAGAAAACAGGGAAATATATATAATATATACAAACCCGTTGACGTTTCCACTTCTCTGCTGTATTTCGTTTTCGATAATGGCGATGATACCGTGCTATACTACAAATCGCATCATTTCTATATTACGGTCAAAAATTCATGAATTATATGTTACATATTTTCATTTTTTTACATATTATATGGAAGATATAACTTACCTTGTTAAAATATACAACTTACCTTATTAAGTAGGCCATCGTTTGAACATTTTTGAGAACATAATGTGCTATCCTGCGTTATCTCTACTGCAATATGTAAATTTTTCCTTCCTAAGCAGTAAGGAAAGTTTACGATAAAGGATTGGTTGTGATTTATCAATGAAATTAAACTTTCGTCTCGCTTATCTCACTTTTCCGTTATGTGTTGAATCTATCAATTCTGAAATCGCACAAATTGAAAAGATGGAAATTCAGTCCCTTTTCTTTTATTTCTTAAATTTCGAAGTGAGCAGAGAAACACTGATTACATAGATTGTTTATCTCGAAGTTGGATGAGCATTTTTATTTGGAGATAAATGTAACAAAGGGATAAAGTTCACTTTGTAAAGCAAATATTTCCAGAAAGTTACTTACCAATATTAAGTGTTACTTTTGAAGTTTCCAATAATGAAGCCTTTAATTGAAAGTGCTGAAAAAATATATTGAAATTACAATGTACCGAAGACATAGTAATAATTGTATAATTTATTGTTTCAATTTTTTTTTTTTTTTTTCTTGTATAATGAGCAGCTGGAAAAGGAAGTGAAAAGTGTTTTCGTAAAATTATTCCAAAACGGATAAACGAGTAGTATTCCAGAGACTTTTAGGGAGTCTCAAAATTCGCAGAATAACTTGTTAGTATCCAGAGTGGAATACTTTACATTTATAAAGAGGTATTGATATTGATAGGATGAAAGTGAAAATAGCAACTTACTGCTTGCTCTTTTTTTTTAAGCTTATCGTTTGATACAGGTTTATTTGCTATCTCGTTTTTGTCCAATTTCTGAATGAATCAATCATGTTCATTTTTTTTTCCCCAACAGATAAAGAGTTGATATAGAAGCAAACTTACTTTTCTTGCCGATCCCTTTTTACCTACAAAATTAAATTTAATGATATTGACAAATATATCATAATATGGGAAATAACCGAAAAAAAGATCATTCTATTCTTTTTCTTAGAAGTCATTTTGTTTGATATCTAATTAGTCATACAGTAAATCTTTGTCAGTTCTAATTGCGATAAATTCCAATAAAAGAGAAGCACTTCTTCGCTCGTTGCTTTATTGCATGCAAACACGAGAGTGAACTTTAGAAACAATTTGTCATATCTCTTAAACAATTCAGCTTAGCATAGGAATTCTCGTATAAAATACAAACTAACTGAAAACTAAAAGATGTTGGAATGAGAGAAGAGTGGAAAGAAAGATCAATCTGCTTATGAAATTCAGCTATCAATGTTATTGTGAAGAATATTTTACAAATACCAGAGTGAATGAAATCCATTCTACAGAAAATAAATGAAAAAATATGGATTGTACTCCAAACTAATGAGTTGCTCCTCTAATCCTTTCTAATATGCCAAATTCGCAAATGACCAATTCAGCAATAACGCCATGCACCAGTTAGCTTTCAAAATGAAGTTAATCATGATGTTATCCTATTTCTCAACAAAGATTTTTTATTTCGATATATTTATTATATTTCTAGAGAATTTTGTTTGGGGACTCCTATACGAAGTCGAATGAAGTCAGATTCAGCAAAGAATAAAAATTATTCAAGAAAAAACACTTACTTTTTAGTTCTCCTATATCTTTGTAGGCGTCCTTTCGGATCTGACAATCAGCCATTTTGTGCATTTATTTTAACACCTTCAACAATTCAAAGAAAAAAAGATAGATTTCTTCCTTAATTTATTTCACGAAATCTTGCTTTATCGTTTTTAGAAATGGGTAAAATACACATAAAGTTGGAATGAAGTGGGCTCAGCAAGTGATCAAAATAAAAATTGGTGATCAAAGTAAAAATTATCAAGACAATTAGTTATTAGATGGCGAAATTTATTCATTTGATCTAATTGGTGGACACAAGAATTAAACTATTGTCAGACCTGCTATCTAGGTTGGTAGTAGTCCACTTGATAATTAGGGATAGTCAAAAGTTTATTTCAAAAATTCAAACGATTATTATTGGATAAATTCTTTTCCCCCAAATAAAATGTCTCTTTTACATCTACATCAACTAGTATAAATAATTTATGGTACAGATAGTAAATATACTTTTGTTGGAAAGCTTGTGGTTAATTTTGAAAGAAATTTGCATTCCTTCCCTTTACACTTTCAATTTAACTTTGGAAACACATATTTCTAGAAAGCAAAAAAAAAGTGATTTGTAATAAAACGATTAAAATTTATTCTTGGTCTTTTACTTTAATGTGTTTTCAGTAAGTAGGAAAGATTCTGTAATAACGCTAAAAACATCTTGGAGAAAGCGCTTAACTTACGGAACATACATTAACAAATATTATTATCTGCAATTTTAATGGTAAATTGAATCAGATTTCTTCATCACGTCCAAGGCAAAGCAGCTTTCCTTCTTTACAAAAACGTAATGAATGCCTTTCCATCCTTATATCTAGATGAATCATTTGGTGACATAGAATATTGAGCTTTAGAACACCACTTAACAACTATCAGATAGTAACCATGAAATAAATCGAGGAAGGGGATTCTTGATAATTTTTAAATTACTGAAAGTTCTTTCCAGATGTTAAAATTCTCTTTCAGCCTTGCGGTAATCTCCTTTTCAGTATGACACATTCTTTCAAAGTAATTCAGATTTATTAGCTCTCGTTTCAAAAGCTTGCTGTTTAATTTCCTTGGCTCACGCTTTCCTAACTTCTAAAAAGAACAAACTAGATGTTCTTTTTCTCAAGCAAGTCTGAAAAGATATCACTTGAACGAGAAGTTTAAATCAGACCATTTGGACGAACATTACTGAAAATCTAGCATTTCTTCATTGAAGAGAAATTTTTTCTTGTAATACAGATTTTGACATTTGAAGTTGTTTTGACAAACCCGTGCTGGTAAGAATCATTTGACTTGATAACTTGCGCCACATTTTTATAATAGTAGCAAGGGAGCAGAACGTAGAATGCTTGAAGGGAATTAAAGATGTACTCGAACTATCAGCAATGATGAGAAGGAGGGTAAGGAATTTTCTCAAACATCTTTATAGAAAACAAAGCTTAGATCTAAGAAAAAGGGCATACACAAATCCACACACAGATGTACTGCTTAAGTGTACATTCTCAGCTTTCATCACTGAAAGGATAGGTAGGGTAACCAATGGTAACTAAGAGAAATTTATATCCAATTTTTGAAGCCAATAGATTCTCCTACTTACTTTTCATTTCAAACAGCAGTAACTTCACTACTGAACATAAACATATTCAGAAAGAAAATAACTGCAACTAAGACCGAATATTTTGAGTAATCTTCGCAAATAATTGTTCAATCACTGCAGAAATATATCTTAGACCATTTCAGCAGTTGATAAGCACTACCGTGAAAAGGAATTATCTGAAATTATCAGTGAAACACGCAGTGTCAATAATGCACACGTACTATAATACTACAGCAAACACAAGTGAGCGAATTTCAGAGATCTAACCGACATAATTTTAGTTTTCACTTTTGAAGTGTCGGTTGAATTTCAAATTTTTAAGAGTGCTAATTTTCCTGTACTAGCCTATATTCAGTAGTGACATGCTATACATTGCATATTTTGGTACATCTAACAAGAGCAGCCATACGCTAGATGTAATCTTGACAATATAAAAATAAAGCATGAATTAAATAACATATGAATGTATTTCCAACTCCTAAATTTATTTTTTAAAATAATATCCCAACTACTTATTCACTCAATCAAGAAATTCTTCATATGAAATCTGGATTCACAAACAGTTTGAAATCGGATTTTCTGAGAAAAAACATTCTTTACTGCTAAAAATAGTTCAAAATATGACTCTACTATCGTAGGAGCCTATTGAAAAGTTCATCAAATGAAAGAAAGAAAAACTTTCAAGGAGAAATACTAACGCAACACTTCCTTATCAGAGTTTTGATAACAGAAACAAATAATTAGCACAACACTGTGCTAGACCCATAATCAAGATTGCTAAATTGCATTAGTCAGTTACCCCTATCCTTCATTGTGGAAAAATTCACCATGGAGATTTTGAAAACTTCAAAAAGTAAACAAATAAGACTACAAACATCAGCAGCCCAGTTAGAAAAGAAAATACGAATATTCCTAACACATTTATGTCAAAGCAAAACATACTCTAAATGGCATAAAAACATATAAAATAGTATCTATTCCTCCCTTGAAGCCATCTCGTACTTGTAAAATGTTTCCGCACAATAAGATTTAAGAACTTTTAAACTTCGACATCTAATTAGACAATACACAAGCTTGTAATTACAAAGATATCCGAGTTCTCCATTTCTGGACAAATCTCACAAAAAAAACCTATCGTATAACGGAATATCATTATATACTACTAAACTACAATTAATGGTGCGTCCTCTGTGGTTCTACCGATTTCATCGAGAAAAATATTGTTGCTATGATATGACCCGAGAAATGTATTATATCTTGTAAACTTTTACAAACTGATAATTCTATCATGCTTACCAGAACCAAGCAAATAAGAAAGGAGAGTCTCATAAAAAATTTGTTTTATAAATCTCATAAAATCTTAGTGAGTTATTGAAAAACAGTACTTGGTCATTATTTTATCTTTAATATTCGTTTTACAAAATAAACGACTTTTTCCAATTCTCCAACCAATAAATTATACCTGATACTCTCAAAAAACATGTAAACAAACCGTTATTATTTGGAAAAGCAATAAAGAAAATGTAACGCACTAAAACAATGGAAAACTATGAAAATCAACATAATTATAACATCTATAGTTAAGGACACCTTCTTAATAACGATAGCAGTTAGTGTGTATAAGAGCTCTAACTTCCGAACGGTGTTATTTAAGCTAAGCATCTTATCCATTTTCTCGAATCTTAGAACAAATAATTTAGCACACTAAGTATAGAACGATGCTTAAACTACGTTTTTCATCAAACTATCAGTGAGTGGCAATCGGAAGTTTTTGTAGGTAAATATTTTGTTCTGTGTACTTATTAAATGTACTTATCCTTCACCTATACCTATAATTTTCCAGAATGCTATAAATGACTATTTACTGTACAAACTATTTTTAGATTATATCATTCTACAAATAACAATGTTGAAAATTAATATTGATACATAAAATTAATATTGATGCATTTATTAAAGCATTTTGGAAAGTTCCAATTCCATCTGCTCTCTGTCCTCTTCATCATTCATCAACAAGCGATCAGCAAATGTGCTTGGGATATTGTCCTCAATCCATTTCAGCTCTTCCTGAAAAAAAAAAAAAAAAAAACGACAGCATAGGCAACGCAAGTTTTTAAAACTAAATCTATGACTATTGTTCTATTACCAACTTATTACTAATTTTGTCCGTTTGCCGTCCTACCCGATTCATCAACTCCACACACCTCCATTATCATATTTTCAGGAAAGAAAAACATAGAGTATAAATTAATTCTAACGATAAAACGTTCCAGACATCCTGCAGCAACCACAGTTATTGAAGATAACTAGAATGTAATTTTATTCTTAATTTTACTTAATTTATAATTAAAATAAGATAAAATGATTGGATAGTTTTTCTTGGTGGCACACATGAACAACATTATTCCTTGGAAATAGTGAAAGATTACACTAATTACTTCGGAATATTCTGGTAATAGGAGTGATTCAAACCTTCAACTTCTGGTCATTTTCTTGAGCTTCATATTGATTCTTGTTAGAGGAACTTTCTTGGTCACGAGCAGAAGTATAACCAACCATAGTAGTAGTCCGTTTATTTAATCCAGCCATAGCGCAGTAATTGGTATTGAAAAGTTCGTCTGCACCTTCGATTACATATAACAGCTTCATGATAAATGGGATAAGAAATACAATACAAATGTCCGAATATTCTTATTTCCATAAACAATTCTTTAATATTACAAATGATGGACCCATTCTAGATTATCTCAGTTCTTCTTTTTGATTATTTTGTATTTATATATGAATTACTGAAATAACAATAAATACCGTCGTCATTCTCGTCCTCGCTATCATCAAGCAGTGGTGTGAAAGCATAACGTTGATTATTGCGTGATGGACGCCATAAAATCATAATGACGACCAGAATGCAACAGAACTGGATATGCCAAAAGGCTGTATCTATCCAACTGTAAAATGAGGTATAAATAACTTTATGGACTACTTTTAATTTAATTAACCAGCTTCCAATCATCAATATGGAGTTTTGCTTTAAAACACTTTAAAACAGTTATTCCTATTTATCCGCAATAAACGGATGTGAGAAAGGTTATCTGCATTAAATTATGCAAATGAACATACCTGTATAATTTTTTGAAGGTGTTTGTGAAGTCATTAAATTAAAATTTATTAACATAAATTTATTTTTAACTTACTTAATATTCGAATCAAAAAAGTTTTATTTGAGAGTGAGGTCATAAAAATGTAATCATAATTCTAGCTCTAGCGGACAAAATTTCATTATAAATAAACAACCAGACGAATAATATATGTATATAAAGCACCTACTATTCTTTCCAATCAACTAAACACCGCTGCATATTGTGGATGTATATTGTCCAGCACATGAATATTATGCTTATGAAAGCTGAGAAGCATAATGCATTGGTAAAGTGACGGTATACAGAAAGTTTTACCTTAAAATGAATTTCAGCTTGAAAAAATTAAATTAGGTGAACATGGAAACGAATAAAAAATATGTGCATTTCCGCAGCTTGTCTTTTACAATTACTGAGGCGAATTTCTGAAACAGCATCAACCTAAGCTCTGATGAAAGATGTAGCTTGGAAAAATCTGCTAAATTCCACGCATTTAATGTACCATCGGTATACACACAAAAAAATATTAAATGTATGCGATACTTAGTTTATTAATGAAAAAGCACTCGAAAAAGATCACAAAATTGAAAGGTTGATAAAAATTAAGTGAAACCACGAGATTGAAAAAAAAAAAAAAAAAAAAAAAAAAAACTAAAACTGGATAAACGAATGTCTTGATGTATTTTCTTGAACCACATTGCTCAGCTTAAAATCAATAAAAATATATTAACTTCTCAAACAATGAGCACGCTCACCATATTTCTTCTCATTTTCAATACTCGCATAGTACTGATAAGTGATGTAAAAATCCACCAAAAGATAATTACTTCGACCAATATCAACGGTAAAGCAGCCAACTGTTTTTGCTTCAATCCTTCTACTTGATTCTAAAAATATTGATGGTTAACAATAATCAAGAAAAGATTCCTATCCGATTGCTTATAATTTTTTAAAAAGAAAGAAATTACGATCTACTTTTAAGATCCTACCAAACTATAACTTGGCTTTCTGAAGCAAAAACGCTTAAAATAGTTAAGAAAAAGTTAACAACACAAAATAAAATACCTTGCTCACCCTAGCCATCGCTTCCATAGCACTGAATACAAAATAAATAAAGCCCACGCCAATTACCTTCAAATGAACAAATTTATTTCCATGTAAACTTTCTCTCTTTATTTACAAATAATAAATAAAAAGTTACAATTCACTTCAAAATTAAAAATTGCTTGTTCCGTAGGATTAATCAATGAATATTATACAAGTAAACACGCAGACTAAAAAAACAATACGAAAAAAAACAAAAGTTGACCTGACTGATAATATTACCAAGTCTTGGTTTCACAACACCATAGCCAAGTGAAACTATTATAATCAATACACGAGCCATTGTTCGTTTCAAGCATGACACTAATTCTGCTATCTAGATCAGCTCAACGGAGTAGATAATTACTGTACTTTGCAAACAAAATTTTCAACAATTAATATATCCAAATGAAAAAAATGTATTGAGTAATCAACAAATCAATTCCATGTCTTGAGACATAAAAGGAAGAGACTGAAAAACGATTTCATCGAATTTTAACAAGATCATCAATTACCTCAATGAAACCATGAACAGTAGAGCCCTGTTCATTCATTGTTGCATATTCCGAATAAAACATTCCTTTCTCGATCATTCCAACAACGATCACAGCACCTAAATTTATCCATATACACATATACATCATTTCAAGATTTTCAGATTTTGAAAGATGTTCAAGATGACTCATTGTTATTGCAGCCAGTACGTCGTAAAAAATGTAAAATTTTACCGATACAAAACTGTATTCTCAAAATATCCATCCAGTAACGTAAGCAACATATTAACCTGAAAAAAGAATAAGTTTTCATATGGAAAAAAGAGGAGAGCAATGACGGAAGCATGAAGTGCACATTCTAATTTCTCAATATAAATATGAAATAAGGATCAAAAAGGAAATTATATAGCTGCTGGTTGACATCACATAGCAAAAAACAATCTCATTTATTTTCTTAACGGTATGTAAGAACAAATTTTTAAACTTGAAATCAGAGTTTCAAATGATTTTCCGTGCTCCTAACCAAAATTTTTTTCTACAAAAAATTGAAATCTAATGAATGGCTAAACTAACAAACTAACAAATGAAAATTCCAATCAAATATAAAACGGAAAAAGATCAATTACCAAATGATAGCTAACGTAGCATAAAAAAGCCACATAAAAGCATAAAATCTCAGAAGTGGGTAATCGATTGCACTTAAATGCCCATAAGGACTACGCCACTGCACATCTACTGTTAAATTGTGGACAAGTGGTACTGAAATCAAAATATGAAACAGCACTAGGCTTGCTAAATAATAAAACAAAACTTTAGTTAGTTAAGAGCAAGAAATACCTTCAAACTACCTTCAGCGAGGACTTTTTTTATTATTCAGGAAAGATTCCACTGTTGGTCTAGAATTCAAGGAAGATTTCAAAATATCGTCCTTTAACAATTCTGTTTAAGAAAAAGTCCAGTCAATGGTTATTAAAAACAAACCTTGAGTAGTCTTCACAAATAAATTGGATTTTATAACAGTAAATTTGATTACCAAAAAATATATGCCATCTGCTGGAAGCTTCTGCACTGGATGCCAAGAACTGCAAATGAAATTTCGAAAACGAAAGCAACGAAAAAATCTTTTCGATAAACCTGATAAGTTAAGAAAAACAAATGACTCTGGTTTGTTAAATTTCTTTTCCTTATAAATATAGTAACACAACCCAAAAAACTAATATGTTTATTGAAAACACAATCATTTCCTTACCTAAGAGTTGTTTTAGTGCCACCATCCAGTGAATCACCATTCAAACCAGCGAATTCACGTTTAAATCTTCTTTCAATTTGTTGTTCTCGACCAACAATGTGTCGATTCCGTATAGAATGTGATGTGGTTGCACTTAGGATATTCGAGTATTTGGAACTTGCCTGGGACGTATAGAGAGAAAAAGGACAAATATAAAAATACAATAGCATGAAAACCAATTTATGTTCATTCCATTTAAGCGCATACAGAAAGAAACAGCTTCTTACCCTAGCATTCAATTTATCGAGGAAAACTTAAATATTATTTGCTGATCGGAATGTCACTTTTCCATACCTCCTTGACATCATGTACTTCCAATGGCCGACGTGGACGCTCATCTTCCTGCACAAGTACCATGCCATGTGACTGATGACAATTGAACTGCTGTGGCTGAGATTTGTAGAACAAAATTTTCGTGTAATCGTATCCGGAAGGTATCTCCCACTCATGTTCAAAATAGAAATTCTAAAATTATTATAGGAACTGAATGAAAAACTAGGAGAAAGAACAAATAAACTAAATTCATAATTCAGTATTATTGAGTAATTATAATATTAAGTCATTATTATTGAATCATTATAATAATAAGATTTCGAAGCTATTTTTGTTAGAAACTTAAGTCAGCAAGAATAATATAGCAATAACTGCATAAAGTCAAACTGTTGAGTTTCAAATTTCTCCTCGAGAATACAAGCAAAACTGGTACTCACCAACAAATCTTTTACTTGAGCATGTCGACCGGCGTCGAAAAATTCCTTATCACATGGGGAACTCCTTATAACATATTGCACTTGAAATGTCAGATCTGAATCATCAACGCATTGAAGACGTATTTCCACTTCAGTACCATTAAGTGCTGACTGTGGAAAACCAACGTATTCGATCTAAATAACCTTCTACAATATTACGTGATAAGTAACAAAACCTGAAATTCGAAAAAAAATCTAAATAAGTAAGTCATACCGTATCGGCTTTCAGCTGAAGTTTTGTGGATAGAATAGCTGGTGCTAGAAGATGTGACAGACAGCTACCATTTAGAATAATAGCAACAACAAAAAGCCACCAAAATGGGCAATTTCCGAATCGATTTTTAATTTTTAACATCAAGTCAGTGGTCACCGAAACAAAGATGCTAGGTCAAAAAGAATATGACCAGAATGTAAGTTTTCATTCTTTTCAATGCAAAATTGATTCCTGAAGAAAACTCCTGATACTAAGCATTTTAAAAAGTAGTTATTTATGAAGTTCTGATCAGATCAAAAAAAAAAAAAAAAAAAAAGCTCTCACTGACTGATATACTTATATGAAATAGCTTTCACTGAAAAAAGCAAGGGAGAAAGAAGGAGATAACGACGTCTGGACTCAATTTTTCAAACAAAAAATCAAAAAAAAAAAAGCAGTCTGGACAAACAAAGAGGAACATTAACTAGCCTTAGCAGTCAAGTGATAACTGCTTCAGTGAAACAATAATAATAATTATTTCTTATCTACTGATGTGGTCGAGAAACACTGTGTCAGATTTAACATAGCGGGAACTTAGGAGACAATGAAACCTTTGATCTCCCTTCCCTTTCCTTTCAATCGTTTGAATATCCTGACCGTAATACTTTAATGATTTCTCGGAAATAGTTATGTTCTCCACGTCCCGTCCTACCAGTATGTTTACTGAGTACGCCACAGCATCCCCGAGACTTAAAGCACACATTACATTAACGCCCTTTGCAATAGAAGTTCAGACACAACTCCAAACCCAGCATTATGTTTCAAAGTGATTCTCCATACTGTCTTCGATTAACTTCCATTTCATCTTTTACATCGAATATTTCCATAACTCACGATGATAACGTATGGACTGAAGTAAATAGTTTAATGACTCACATCAACAGTTTCAACTAACTGTATATCCTAAGCAGACAGCAGGAATACTTAAATTCTTAGATTAGTCGTTATCTGTGACTTTAGGTTGATTTTATATGAGCTCAGACAAGTTAAACAGCACTCAATGCAACAACACAACCGAACTTATTACTCATACTAAATTCACTGACTATCTCAACTACCCATGCAAAATTTTTAAACTTGAGCAATGAATAACTGAGCTATTTTGCATATAATTTAAAGCAGAAACTTAAACAAAGATATAAATAGCAATAACTAATAATAATGCTTAGTAACTTCACAAGAAATCAATTAATGGCAATAATTAATTAGTCAATAATAATGGCTAATTAATGATAATAGTAGAAATTAATGAATTAATAATGGCGATAGTAATAATAATAATAATAATAATAATAATAATAAGCAAACTAATTAATTAATTAATGATAACTAATAATAATAAAGTTGACAATAATAACTAATAATAATAATAATAAAATGTACCTTATTTGCATAAACAACAATATGTGAACAGAATCAATAAAAAAAGTCCTCCAAATTCACATAATGCCAAAATACATAAATAATGAAAGTAAAACTGTCATAAAACAATTTAGAAGAAATTACTGAGCTATTCACACTTGATACAGCAACATGTTATGCAGCTGTGGAGAATTGCAAGTAAATATCTCTAGTAAATATCTCTCTTTCGAACTAATCTTTAGAAATATGAAGATAACTCTGTTGTGTCCTATTATAACCTAATCGAACACTTTAAAAAGGGAATTTACTTGAAACATAGTTTCAATGTAGCTTTTTAAGCTTTCCATCACAATTTACGCCTTTTGACAGTCTGCCACTTTCTTATCTTTAGTTTCACTTCTACTTTAATAGATAGTTGTAAATAATATTTGGATTCACAATATAAAAATTTACCTTTCAGAGGGAAAAAAAAATATGGGTATAAACGTTATAATAAACAATTTGTTAAAAACGAACAGTATAAAGCTTATTTTAACTAAAATTAATGAAATAGAACTCACAAAACGAATGCGTAAATTTTTTAAAATTATCAGTTTTATAATAAAATGATACAGTATATCCCTGATGCTATGCAACATCTTCAAGAAAAGTGAATGAAACTATAATAATCAGATTTTGCCGGAAGGACTCAAAACATTCCTACAAATTTTCTCACCAGCTTTATGTTTTACGAAAAGCCCCTCATTCCATAACGAAAATTTACTATTATTCACTATTAGTATTTCACAAATATCATAATATATCACATCGCTTTTTCTTATGAAATTTGTTACCAGGCATAGAATCACCACCGGGAGTATGTCCTTTCAGTGTACCACCTTTTCTCCGCTTTATTTCGCGCATCAAGTCGTAAAATACCTAAAATTCAAACTTTTGAAAAATAACACTTTTGCATGAAATATTTTAAGGAGATCTACCTAGCCTCATTAAGCATGAATTTTCTAACTTCTTGTCCAACTGATTAAGCTACTGATCTCCAACAAACTGCTAACGATACAGTGGCTCAAGGTAAAACCATTATCAAAGAACTGAGGAAACCGAAAACATAGCGTCACAAAATGAATGGTTACTATTCGTTGCACATACAAAATAAAAGTCATTAATAAAACTACAACAGTAAATTTTTTTTCGATTGGAACAGCAAAATTTTATAGCCAATTCAAAGTTTATATCCATCACTGCTGTAAAGAATAGGATTAATCTAAAAATCATAGGAGAGGACGAAAAGAAATGAAATTTGTGGACAATTTGTTTGAAATTACTCTTGTCAAATTCAATTACGCAGTTATCTTTCCGTAATATGAGGGTAATTCTAAAACATTTCATAAAACAAGATCTCAAAAATAGACCAAAACCTGACCATTAAAAAACTGAAGTACACATTCGCTACTTTTATTATTTCATAATACTTAGTAACACTTCTTTCCCATCACTACTTCATTAATCATCAGTTATATTTTCACGAAATGTAAGAAAATAATACTTTATCAACATTAATCCTATTTTTGGCAGAAGTTTCAATGTACGGCACATTCCACTGCTCCGCTCTTTGTTGTGCGTGTAATTGCATTATTGAGCGTTCATTTGTCAAATCCGATTTATTTCCAACCAACATTATTGGAACTGATGAATCTGTGGCAGAATTTTTAACGCGCAATATTTGCTCCCTATAAACGAATACAATAACAACGAATTATACTGTAGACAAACCATAGCAACACCACGCTAATGAATGACCAGAGGGTGCTTATCACAACAACTCATGGTCAGTATAGCATCAAAGCAGTGATGATAAATGGAAAAAAGTTATAAAATGGACACTCATAAAAATAATGAAATGTGCAGTAGAAAAAAAAAAAGAATAATTATACAAGTGAGACAATGAACAACAGATGAATAACCTGAATTCGTTTGTTGCTTCGAAAGATTCAGTATCAGTTATCGAAAAGACGCAAATAAATCCTTCACCACTTCGGTAATAATTATCTCTACAAATATAACTTATTAGTGAAGTTAAATGGAAGTTAAAACTAAATAAAAAACTGAAAAATTTTTTCGCGAAATAAAAATTTATATTTGAAAATACTTTCTTTTCAAAACCTTTTAAAAATACTTCCAATGGACGATAAAGCTCTTAATTTTAATTATAGTCCTGACTGAAAGTCTAAAAAAAGAATGCAGAATTTGCCCATTCACCTGATTGCAGAGTAATCTTCTTGACCAGCGGTATCGAGAATATCGATTAAGCATTCCTCACCATCCAATACAACTTTCTTTCGATATGAATCTGCTTTTGTTGGTTCATATTCTTCTACGAACTGCAACAAAGAAATATGAACTGATGAACACGAGCTCTTTGAAAAGCATGACCTAAAAAAATCATAAATTTCTAACTACATCATTATAAAGCATAAAGTCAGTATCCTCATTTTGAAAAAAAAGTGATTAATGGAATTACTGAAGGTTTCTGAGTCAGATATGTATAAACATCACATAATCAGAAAGATGAGCAGTTCAAAACACAAAAGCCAGAACAATGTCTACTTACTATTCCTCAATAACGAAATTTCATTTAGTGAATAATAGTAGGTTGATATATGAGACGCTTCACTTAACCAGCAGAAAACAAAAAATATATAACACTATTATTCTTCTTTCATCTGAATAGGATAGACATCTTTATCCGTTTGGTAGAAACTGAAAATGTTGAAAATTCTATTTTTCATACTTCTTCAAGTGAATGTTTTTTTTCTTTCAAGTAATTCTATATCTTGACTGTTATAGGATGAGAAAAGAGGAACACAAGAACTATATAAGGGGACAAATTTGAAGTTAAGGAAAAATTATGATTTGATTGCTTTTTTGAAGCAAAATTTTATATATTCAAAGTAAATCTTTGCAAAACCGGCTCTTGTGAAGAAATATATTAATGAAGTGACTAAGTAAATATGGCTGGAGCATTTTATCGTCCTCGAATTGCAAAACGATAGGAAACATTCAGCGCTTTCAACGTTCCCACAACATTGTGAAGTATAAAACTAATTTAAGCACAACGAATTAAAATCTTTCTTATCTAAAGCTAAATAATACTGCAAATGAGATGAGCAAATTATTAATAAATCAATTTTATACAGAATGAACAATTAAAAACAAAATAGAACGTGCTGTCATTGAAAATATAGATCAACCTGTTACTTTCACCTACGATCTGAAAATGCTTGTAATATATCACACAGTCGATTTTCAAAGGCTTTCAACAAAAACTTAGCGGTCCCTTTGAGAAAACAATAATATGCACCTTTTATCTTTATAATATTTTTAAAACGTCGTCCCAAGTAGAAAAATCAAAGAAACATATAGTAAATAAAGGAAAAAATAAAAAGACAAAAAGAGAATATAAATATTCCCGCCAGATCAACCAAACTTCTTTCCTGTGCAATTAATTCAGCAAGAATTCACCAAATCCCTTTATGCCGTCTTCTTCGCGGTTTATTTTTTATCCACAATCTTATATTACACTAATATTGATGAATTCCTAATAAAGTTTTCAGTCTGAATTGAAGTCTAACTGCACAAAACAAAAACAAAAAAACGAAGGAAAACAAGCTCGCTTTAAAAGATATCTATGCTTACCGCATGGAAAAAAAAGAAAAAAAAATCTCAGCCATCTTTATACCATCCCTTCTTAGTTTCCTTACAAGATGCTGACATGTCAGAATCCAAATGATAACACTTATTGTCTAATGTTAATCTATAAAACATTCAGCAAGCTAAAAAATATAACAAAATTTCTCTTTCCTCTCTCCATCTCTGCTAAGTATTTTTTCCAATACTCTATTTTATCAAAAGGTAATTCGAGATTCTTGATCGCGTTACATAAAGAATTTAAAAAAATATGTCAAGGTTTTCTGCATCTTTTCTTCGGATATTCATTATATTTGTATCTTTATAATTATCCTTTGCTGCACTTATCAAACCATCATTGGCCGATCAATTATTACCTTAAAAAATTAGAGATCTGACAAAATGAAATCAAAAAACTCAAAAGAAAAGTGAAGAAAAATAGACGGCTTACATTTTAAGTCCTTAAAACAACACAGAAATTAAGTGAATTTTAAGAATTAAAATCTTTTTCAGAAAAATCAGAATTACATTTTTCAGAAGCACCCGTCTATTACTTCATTTTCTATCTTCCTCTTCTTATACATCCTCGTGCTCCTATCCTCCCCCAATTTCCTCCATTTTCAGTTAGTATTCAAGAGACAAGAATTTAGCTACGATGCAAAAAGACACTTCGCATTATTCATCATACGAAGAAAAAACACAACAAAACAACATAAAGCAGGGTCTTGAAACCATCCCATCTATTTGAATCATCATTTTTTAAAGCAAAAATTGGAAGTATTCAGCAGAAACATATAAATTTGAAAAACAATTTAGACGAGCAATCCTTCGCTGCGTGCATGGAAATAACGGTAATGTAGAATGGCGAAGTGAAGCAAGCAAAATAAAGGAATAACAATTACGATACTTGAAGGAAAAAATAGAAACGTCCAAACTCAAACCGATCCTAATAATTCACAAATATTAATTCGATAAGGAGACCAATTATGTTACCTCATTTATTATTCAAACCATTAGAAGCAAAGATCCAAACGATAAAAGCTGAAAATGAAAAATGAGATCAAGTGAAGAGCTAACCTCATCGTACATGAATTGCAAAGTCAGTGCTGATTTCCCGACACCACCGGTACCAACCATTATCACCTGTAATTAAATCGGTTAATGTAAACTTAAATATGTTGAAAAAAGGATAGGTTCTGACAAGAATTATCTGATCTCCCAAAACGCTCAAACTGAAACAATTTAATAATCGATTATCTCTACTTTTTACTTTTCCAAAATAGCAGACTAGCACAGCTTAATCAAGTTTTTGAATTTTAACTTTTAACAATATTTCACAAGTATTTTTATCAGAAGATTTTGACAAGTGAAGTGCAAAGTTAATGAAAGGACCGGACGAATTCTTCCTTTTAGTTAAAAGAGAAATGGAATCGAAATTTACTGGTCTTGATTTCGCGTTTGATAATAATCATATAATACCATGATAGATTAAAACCATCATCAAATATCATTTATGTAAGAACGATTCTGGTTTTCTTAAATCGAATTATGAATTTTACACCCTATTATAGTTGTGGATATTTCCAAAAGCAATAACAATCAGAACTCTCTCTACATTTCAATCCTTCAACCACCACCACAAACATATGCTAAATATCACAACTAATTTCATCTCCTTTCATGCATAACAATTTGTTCCACTCACTATTGTATATACCAATAAGTTGATATTTTATACAACAAATAATCGTGCATAATGCGTCTGCCAGGAATAATAACTCGCCCTTATCGCACACCTACCTAATCACAACAACTATTTGGAATTTATTAAATATAAATGAAACTTGCAGTGTTTCAGAGATAATTATTTAAATGGAAACCATCACAACAATTCTCCAACCACAACTGGACCTTCTTTTTTTATTAGTGGTCTTTGGATTACCAGTGACCCTTCTAAATTTTTCAAAATTTCAAACTTACATGATTTTATTTATATAAAGCGTAAGAAAAGACACAGCAACAAACCTTATGGACCTGTGTTCCGGTTCCAGCACCACTAGCTACCTTTTTGTTATTATCACTCATTCGTGTTAAATGGCCTGGCCTCAATTCAACGAACAATCCAGCAGTAGCAGTACCACGCTCGATATCACAGTTCTTTCCAGCAGCTTCAGATTCGCTAAAGACTGATGTTATACCACACAAATCTAACAAACTCATCGTAAACCAAGTCAACCAAGACCAAAGATCTCTGGCACGTTCTTTGATCCAGCACCAACAGAACTGAACACGATTACGTAAATCTTCCATTTTCTTGATTACAATGCGAAGAAAAAGTAGAAAATAGAATTTAGTCAGAAATCAGCCAAAGATGACGTTCAGTAGAATAAAGTGGCTAATGAACCACATGCGGCACTAATAACTAGCAGTTTCAAATCTAAGACAATTTAACAGGGAAAGATTGAATCAGAAGAAAAGCAAACTCCCTGATATGACCGTGATGTTAATCATAAAAAATCCTCTCGAATGCAACATTCCATGACAGTTAGATTTGTACGGTTTCTTCTTCGATTACGAATGTAAAAAAATTTAGTCTCCTGGTTCCTGATTTTCAGAAACGGTAAAAAGAGTAAGAAATTAGTGAGTAAGAGAGCAACGAGTTATCCTCGTCGGCTAACAAATTATCTTCAAATACAAGGCAGATAATTTCTGGTAGCTGACGTGACTTCCGGCCGGCCACACTGCGAGGAATAACCGAACATGGAGAAAGACACCTGCCCCTACAGACAACATCAGCAAGAGGCGTCCCCTCTGTCATCACGCCCCAGCCATCCACCTCATTGGAAGGCGACATCAATGACAACGACACTATCAGTGCATCTCTCTCAATAATGTGTGTGTACACAAACAACAGTACACCCTATCTATGTCAAATGAGGCAATTTCAGATGTGCATAGAATGAAAGTTGAAGAGTTTCAGAGAAAAGGATTAAACAACAACAGCAAACAGTAGTGCTAATGCTATAGGGGAACAGTAGAGATCTAGTCTTTCAGAACATAATGGCAATGGGAAATCATATTCACAGATCAACTCAGCATGGTCTGTTGTTCTGGTTGCATTTCGTCCAACATTTTCAATTATTCCACTCCTGATTATCACCTATCAGTAAATGAACATACACATCGACTATCCATACTCAGTACTTCTCATTTTCACTATTTTAGTAAAGAAAGGTTTCTATCATCATGCTGATTAATTCCGGTGTAAAATCTTTCCAGAAGACTTTTGAAAAAGCTCCTGAACTTGAACTTTTTCAGGATATTAAAAGCTATATTTAAAACTTTGAGATTCATATGACAGTCTATTCATTTTTGTGACAAATCGCTTTGCATACTTCCGATTCCTAAATTATTGGCTTCAATCATTTACGTGTAATATTTCATAAGCGTGAGTGTGTGAAATTACAAATCATCTTTTATCACAGAATTTAATAAAATCGCAGCCGATGTCGTTGTCAGCTCTTGTTGAATGGCCGTATCACCCTCTCCCGTTCCGTTTCTGTTTTTTTATTTATTATGTCTTCGAAAACGATGTTCTTCTTCCCCGAAATATATTTGTGGTTAAAAGTGCAACTCATTTTACAGTACAGAAGAAAACACTACAGAATAAGAGTGCAAGCATGTAAGTCACTTAGTCGGCTCTTAACAACTAGTCAACTCAATCCTTTGTTTTGAGCTATGCGATGAAACAAAAAACTTCAAAATTGAATTAAAATAAACCAGAAGACACAATCCTGGCTACATTAGTCTTTTTATACAGAAGCAATTTCCAATAATTCCTAATAAAAACCGAGCAATGACATTAGACTGTGTTCGCATGACATATTCCACAACGACGAAATTCTTATTCGGATTGAAATAAACACTGATTTTGACAAGAGGCACAATTCACAGAACTTCATGTTCAATATTAATTTAAACAACTGCTATAGCTTATTACACAAATTGCTATTGTACGACAAAAAATAATCCTAATCCTTCTTATCGTATAAAAATGGAGCTAAAATTAAGTGAAATAATACTAAAGGAAGTGATCTTTGTTGACAGAGAAAAAGAACTAAAGCAGAGATATTGATTTGTTCGATAAGAAGATAGTAATATATTTTCGTGCATTGTATCAAGCGGCTTGTATTCTTTCATTTGACAATAAACTACGTAGATCGGAACTGGTTTATCAATCAAAAATAAGGGGGAGAAACAAAAATCGAAGTAAGAAATTGGGAGGATTAATTCCGAATTATCCTCATCCGATGGCTCAGAATTTCACTTTTCTTTTCAGTGAAGCTAGAAATGAAAGCGATGAAAAAAATTCTGAATGAAACAATGAAAAGTCCTAATAATTTAAAGGAAAGCATTTTGAAGCAATCATCATTTTAAAATATTTTATAATAAAATCAATAAAGAATAAAGATATATTGCTTTGGAAATTCTCCCCATTTTTAAGCAGTTGGGGCAAAACAATTTTAAATTTGTTTCTATCATTTTTTTAATTGTTTAAATTTGTTTCTATCATTTTAATTGTTTAAATTTGTTTCTATCATTTTTTTAATAACCTCGAGCATCATTTTTTAAAATGATGCTCGAGGTTATTTTATTTCCAAAACCACTGTAATGTTTCCTTTAAACTATCCTTTGAAGTGATCCTCTTATTTTGAATTTGTCATGTACCTACTGCTGAATTGCTTTAAATAAATCAGAGCAATCAAAAAAGAGAGATGTAGTAATAAGTTGGGGTGATAAATGCTCTGCGAGTAAGTGAGAAGAAAAGTTTGAAAGTAAAATGCAATATAATCACAGTAGCTGTTCCATTGGAAAACCTTTCAAAATATGAATATGAATTTCAAAACATCATCACATTAACTCATCTCGCAACAAAATCGATGTTCCATTGGAAACCTTTGCCTGTCAAAATATGAAACAAAAAAAGAAAAATCATTAGAAATAGACAAAAAACATAGCTTAATCAAACATCATTTAATCATATAATTAATAAGCATGAACAAAACTTGCAGACATGAGAATTTTTGATTAAGCTTCTACTGACTTCTATTTTTTAATCTTTCACAAGGGAACAGAGCATTTCAGAGGTATTCAGAAATATGATCATTTGGAAAATCGATCCAAACACACGAAAATCTTTGGAAGAATAATCTATTGACAATGGTTTACATTCCGACAAATTTAAATGAGACTTAACTGTAAAAAATGCTACTAATCATGGCATAGTGCTACAGGATCAATAGTAGCGTTTGTTTGTATATTCGACAACTATGACTAGAAGTAAACGTTGTGATAAAGTTTTATGAAAAACTGGACTATTCAACTTGAAGCATCACTGCTAATGTGTAATTTTGGATTACAAACATAAAAAGAAAGATAAGCTTAAAGGCAGTAAAACAGAAGTGCATTTTCAGCCGGGAATTATCAAATATATTACTGAACCCTATAATTTAGAAAATAGCACAAAAAAGAAGCGGAATACAAAATTTACCCACCGTAGAATGAATAAGTCAGATATTAGCTGATATTTTTGGAAACCGATTAGTTGTGGAACTGTTAAATTAATTCCTGGCACAACCTTAGACAATTTAATCATACCAAGAAGCTTAGTGACTAACTGCAATACAATCTCCGTACAAGCAATTCAACTTCCAATAACGTTTTCCAAAAAAGCGCTTAACCAAGATAAGAAAAATATTTCCTAAATGAGAAACGCGTCACTGTTCAGCAATAAGGATTGAAAAACACTGTAGAGAAGTCGCCTAATGGTTAATGGTTAAGAATAATAATGCAGCCATTTTCAACGATGCAAGCCACTATTTTGTTTGACAGCGCGAAATATCGAAAACACTTGAGTTTAACACATGTGAACAAGTCATCTAGAAAAACGCTATGAATATGAGATCATGAAAGAAACTCTTACGGTAAGACAGAATTGAAAATGATGGAACATTTTGTTTAGATTCATTTACTACATTTCCATCCTGAAAAGTCAGCTGGTTGAATAGGAGAATGATTAGGTGAAGCATACCCATCTTCTCACCAGCTGAAAAAAAAGTATAATCTAGCCCTTCCACTTGAATTCCCTCCTTCTGGATGTCTCAAATAAACGCTATTAAATTAAAATAGATTATAAAACTCGTTAGCAAGTTTCTGAATTCTACAACACCTGTAAACACTACCAAAAAGTTAGAGCTTCACTTTTACTTTGGCACCAATAATTAAAAATCAAATGAACACAAAACTGTGTTCCATTCAAATACGATTTCATTCACAAATGTATGTCAGTAAAAATACATAAGCAGCATGCACACTAAGGGACACGTTCGCTAGTTAAAAGCGAAAGAAAACAGAAAATGTTTGAATAGATTTTGAATTAGTCGTAAAAAATCTTTCAATATTTTAAAGAATGAACAACTTTGGAATTTCGGTCAATCCAGTACCGATAAAAAGATCCTAAGCAAAATTTTTTTTCATGCCTTTTCTTCCTAATAAACGTTTACTATAACTGAGAGAATAAAATGAAGGGTATTTTTGCATTTAGTAGATCGAAGTTACACAGGAATTAAATAATATCACATCACAGAAATGAAGGAAACAAAGACCATTGAGAGCCACTGCATTTCCCATTTGGAAAACAACAATTCTTGTCAACAATGATGAACAAATCTTCTAAAAAGCAAAAAATATCATAGCTGAGAAAATTTCCTCAATATCACTTTTTTTTTCAAACCAATACACATTTCCTGACAGTCTTTTCATCAGAAAACTAATTATATCGCTGCTTAATATTCGATTCCTGTTCACTCATCGAACACTTCCGGATGATTACCTCCGGAAGTAACTACTGATATGGGAATGTAATCATCTTCATCTCGATTCTTCTTAAATCTCTCTTTAGAAGGGCCACCTTTGAGTCCCACATTCCAATTCGGACGTCGAAATAGCGAATATGGACGTTTTGATTTGCATTTTTGACGATCCAAGAACTGATAGGAGGAATGCGATGGTAAATTTTTGACATATTTAATGGCTTCAAGATCTTTCTGCTGGGATGACTCAACAACGAGCCGTCTTTCAAATACCTGTAACAAACAGTTTAATATTTCGAGCAGTTTTATGAACACTTAATTGGGGGAAAAAAAAGTTCAGCAAATCCCGATAAATGTAAATATCATTCGGTGGTTTAATCGACTGTAGATATTAGCTTGATTAAGAACACAGATTAGTGTTATCGCACGTTCCAAAATAAAGTGAAAATGAAACTCATATTCTTACATATCACACGGTACTTCTTTTCTTAGGACGTCCAATAAATATAAATAGAATTCCAAATTAAAGAACTATGACCGTTTGATCTACTTTAAAGACGAAACATACAGATGAAGTAACTGGAATGATTGCGTTTCATAAGTCGTGGTTTTAGTGTATATGCGAGAAATATAGCAGTGAAAGACATTAGGATACAACTCAAACAAAACTAGAATAAATTAAACTCACAATATCATCAGAGATTAGATAACGCTTTCGTTCCTCTTCCGGATCGATTAAACCACCTTTAGCCTTTTGTCGTTCAAAAATTGGCTGTAATTCTTCTAGCTTTGCTCGCCACTCTTCCCAGTTAAATTCAAAATTCTCTTTATCTACAGTTCCTTCATCCAAAATGATCGATTTCCGACCAACTGTTGACAAATCCTGCTCATTCAATGGCGCTCGACATATTGGACATTTTAGAACCTTTAAACATTTCAATCTTTTCATTATCGAACTAAATAAATCCATCTCAAGTTTCGTTGAAATTTTCATGCATGTCACAAGTTGAACGCTTCCACTATATCTCACTTTTATCAGATAGTACCATTCAGATTACAGATCAAATAAAGGTGACAAACTTGATCCACTTTCGATTTCATATCTTCTGGCCATTCACCAAGTTCTTTCCTGATTTCGTCTTCTGTGTAGTTCACGTAACGTATAAAGCAATTCTGATGAATATGATGATCACACTTTAATGTACAAAAGGCGTTATTTTCTGCGCTAAACCCGTCTAAGCATACTGGACAAACAGTGCACGGAAAATCTTGTCCAGTTTCCACAAATTTTTGAATCATCTGCAAATATTGATAAACATATTTCAGGAAGGTTGAATAATTAAATTCTTACTTCAGCAAAGCTAATAATTGTAAGTTAATGTACAAAAAAGAACAAAGAACACACTAACTTGAAAGATATCATAAAGAATAGGCATGTCAACATTGGCTTCAATATACTCTTGGATAGTTTTCTGAAGAATATTTGCATTCCTTTCGTCAATTCCTCGGTGCTGTCGCAAACAAACTTCCGGAGATACTTTCGGGTACTGAAGAGTGTCAACTTGATTTGATTAATTACAACCGATTCAGGGGATAGGCATCCAACATTAGTTTAAAGACTCGATTACTTTTGAACTACGATATCTACCAGTAAAATTTACTTGTTCTGGCAACTCGATAACGGCATAAATAACTGCTGCATACTGTGATTGCGATGTTATTGATCTTATTTTCATGCTTAATATTATCGTTGGTGTGCTAAAATTGACGGAAATTATCTCGTATGATTTCGTTTCTGAAGCTAAGAATGTGATGGATGCAAGTCATATTCATTTTTAAACCATTCCTTCATTATAAAATATTAAAATATTGCTCTTGAAAGTATGCACAACTTCTGCAAATAAAGAGCTAAACGATAGGATTACTTTTCTCCAAAATTCCTCTCGACTAGAAGTTCATCACCATATATGCTTCGCAATACTTCAACTTCCTCCTCGGCCATTACTAAATTTCACGATTTATATTTCCCAACTAATTATTTGATCATAAAATTAGCGTAAAAAATAAAATAAAGATAATTAGAGGTATAACGATGAAGTAATCGCTTGTAAAATAAATGTAAATATTCACAGTGAATCAAAGATTGACAAAATATATCACCATTAGATGATCCACATTGCGCAAAAGATTTACTTTGCATTCAAACCTCCCAAGCAGAACAAAGATCTGGAAATACCCCACTTCACATAACACAGATTAAAAAATGCCTTATCTAAAGTTAGGTGGCACCAACAATTTCGTATCGTTAAATACCATTCTTATTCGAAGCAACCTATTTTTAATTCTCACCGGAATTTACATATTTTCATTAGTTTGTTTAACATTTGAACTTCTTATCAGTTTACTTAAAATTCACTTGAATATGACGCGTGAAATAAACCTATTTCAGTGGCATAAAAATCGAGCTCATCCTAACAATAACATTTACTGATTTTCACTTTTCAACAGCAAAGAAATCATAGTATTGATGCACGATTCTTATTAATAGAGGGACAAGAAGAGAAGACAAGTACGAAGGTTTGATTGAGATCTTCGATTGGGATCTAAAAACTATAAATCAATGTTTCGAGTTGTTATTCTTATTATTAATCTCTTCAACAAATCTTGGAAGGATCATATTCAAACTTATTTTAATAATGTGGTTCAGAATGGATAAGAATGATACAAAGAAGTTTGCAAATAATATATACAAAGATTTTCCGCAGCAGACAAAATGAATATATCAAAAATTCATTGTTACTTATTCAATCCAAATCGTTCAGCGCGTCTTTGTTTTTTTATTTCCAACTGCAAAACAATTAAAATAACTGAAAATATTTTAAAATAAAAAAAAAAAATGAAAACATAATTTACTTATTTTTGAGCGAAAGGTTCCTCTTTAACAATACTTGATGAACACCTAAAGATCATTTCTCTAGCAAACAAAACTTGGTTGGGGAGCAAAGAAATGTGCTATGCTCTACTACTTTCATTATCGATTATTATTGATTTTTTAATTCCCGCCAATGATAACCACAAAGAAAAAAGATACCTCTGCTTCTTCAGAGCATAAACCGAAGCGTTTCCCGCGCTTTTCTAATACTTCTAAGGAGGCTTTCTCAACTTTACCAGCAACTACCGCACTGCTTTTATTAACACCTCCAAACCTATAATGGGAATAAAACAGTGATATCAACCTAGCTAACATAAGACAAAAACATAAGATAAAAACTTTTTCTTAAGATCTAGGATTTTTTCCATTTTCGATACCAACACGAAGAAATGCAATCACTTAAAACTGTATCCGTAGTGATTACCTTCTGGCTCGTTTATTTAAAATTTCCTGCATTTTTTCAGTCTCGCTGACAACACCAAACCTGCAATTCATTCATCATTTAACTTTATCGTTTTTCTAAAGAAAAACAATAATTTTCCTGCATTTGCAACACATTTTTATTTTCCATGAAGTCAGATTTTGCAGTATATAATATTTAGCCACACGAATAAATTACCAGAAATGTTTGCTTTTTGTATGACAAAGATTGTTTTAACAAATATCTTCAGCTAGTTCATATAATGCAGTTAGATATTATCATGCACCAAATATTCAGCACTTCGTATTTAACTGTTTCTCATCACGAAAAAATACAAATAAAATATTTCAGGAAACATACAAACCTCGCCGCCCTCTTCTTTTTCTTCTCTGCAAGAATTTCACCAATGTTTGCATCCACACCCAACTGCATGCCGAATCTTCAAGAAAAAAAAAAAAAAAAAACTGAATGGATATATATGAAGTTTATCATTTGTACATTCATAGATTATAACTGAAAAGCATTCAATAATATCAGCCAATATTTGCTAAATCCAAGCGAAACCTGTAAAGAAACCGCATATGAATTTACAATAATTTGCACATTCTAGTCTTAAAGAATGACATAAATACCGCTCAGCGCGTTTCTGTTTCATTTGTTCATCAGAGAGCGGTAATCCAAAACGCTGAGCTCGTTTTAGCTTAGCATCAAATGAGTTGATCATTGCTTCTGTCTTCTTGTTCGCTTCAACTTTTTGAATACTTTTGGATTTCCTAATTATAGGCACCGACGGTGTTATTGCTGATGCTGACGATAATGCTGCTGCTAAATCTTCCTGAAAAAAACTTCATTAAAACTTCTGAAACGAATGCAGAAGTCAAACAGACTTTTTACAAATAAATAATTTGGAATTTATGAGTGATAACCCACTTTTTTTCTGACGAAGTATCAGGACTTCGCTAGAAAACAATCAGTACCTACATATTTTCTTTCAGAATACAGCTCACTGCTTTCCTCTATGCATTTAAAAGTTGATGTTTATCAAAATGTTATTCTCAAGTAGTACAGTCTTTTTGCTTATGCCATTGATGTTCTGCTGTTCATGAGTACTGATTTCATGTTGTAAAAGCCATACTATGTTGATTTCTAGACCAAATAATTGGCAGAATTAAACATAGCTGAGTAAACAAGGAAGTTTTCTCCATTTTGTAAAAGGCAAAAATCGACTCAGAGGACCCAATGCATTTATCAATTTATATGACGAACAAAACCGTTTAAAGAAAAGGAAAAATATTTCGAAAAAGAAAACATTCGTTTTCTTTCTTCTCTAAAAAACCTATTGAAAACATTTCTCATCTCTTTTGTGATATATCCATTATACAGAAGAATTTATCAAAGACAAGAGAGTGACCACTAGCTCTTTTCTTCTATAGAATTAAGTTAGCAGTGTTATCATCCAATACAACTTTCAATATTTTAATTGATTTTTCTAAATTTTCTGTGAATTCTACGAGCAGACAGTCTTAGTTGGATATTAGAAGTAAAAATTCTAATTGTCCAGGCATACCTTCTTTTTGACTATAGTATCTGGTCCCAAAATATCGTCTTCGTTTATTGCACCTTCCAGCACCGTTTCCTCTGCAAAATGTTCATTTGCACAAACTAAATACTGCGGTGAATAGAATATCGAGAGACTTGACAAGATAAATAATTTAAAAAATTTTGCTTAATCTAACTTTACCTATGAATAATCCATCCAGACATCAGACAAATCTACTGAACTCCAAATAACAATTTTTGATTCTAAAAAATCTCACTCTCAACTTACTGAAAAAAGTCCAAACTTGATATTATGACGCCAATTTATTCACCTAAGCTATCTTTTGATGCAGTGGCATCCGAATTCAATATCGTGTCTTCAGCCGCATAACTTGCTTTGAGACGGTCGATTAATGCAGCTTTTGTACCATCTGTTGGGAGACCACGTGATCGCAGTTGTTCCCGGAGCTGAACAACCTGCAAACTACATAAATAAACAAATGAGCACACTGTGCATCTTTTATTTCCCATTCGGGTAATTTCGATCACACAAACATAGCAGATACAAATTTTAAATATTTGTCGCTCAGGAAAACTAAGAATGGTTGTCTAATTTAAATTGGGCAATCAATTTTAAGTTTATTAATACTATTGCATCTGCAAATATACTCAGCTGTAACAATTATACTTTATTTGTAAAACATCGAACTATTATCCAAAAAGACACAGACAGAATCTAAATCATTTCCTAACATTTCTTACACTACCAATTTCTAACGAATTATAAGTCATAAAATACTACTGAAAAACAGGAAATGAAATAAGTGATTTAAAATGATAATTCAAATACCGTCATTTTTGATAAATCCTTTGCTGACATTTTTGTACTTGTATACTCCCGAAAGCACCCTTTTAGATTTGAAATGGCTAAAATCAAAACATGAAATTTAACAAATACTTCCGTAAAAATGTTTGTGACAAAAACTTGCACAAAAGAACGACAAATGCATCTGCGTTTTTATTTTGAACGACCTCAATAATTGATGATTGATTATTAAACTAACAGTGCTAATAACAATGTTCAATACCGATCACAACCAACTCAAGTTATTACGAGTAGTCGGAAATTGAAACCCAAGGAGTTAACATTTCTGGACTGACCACTTACTCCATCTCTCACCCTGGGATTCATAAAGTAAAGCATACTGTTGCTCGTCATGTCAATCCCGAAAGTCCCCTTTCCTCTAGAATACGTCCTTACAACATCCCACCCACCAATCACCATCCATGCACACTACACGGCCTACGAACCGCAGAGCTCAGTCACGAGTGCTTTGCCTTTCAACGATAAAATGTAACGCTCGAAATGAAAACATACTGACTCTCTGACCTGCTTGCTATCGGGCACACGCTAAAGTTCATAAGGCTTTTGTTTATTAGTCCAATCATTAGGATTTGCCGAATATTTTGTCCGAGTTGTCCTCACTCAACACCTTCTGATTTCCTCCTGTACGGAGCACGACAAAATAAAGGGTTGAATTTCTGACAAAAATTTAACCTATCCCAAGGGATTGCATTCTTATCTTGAACGACTTACATATAGCATGATGCTGACTTACTTCAGGTAGTCGTAAGTTAGCTTTAATTGAATGCAAATAAAGTAAGGGGAAATCCCAAGTTTATTGAGCATTTGAATAATCGTAGTCAAAAGAAATGCACTGAAGTCTCCCTTATTAAACTCGAAAGTATGTTTTAAAAACAACCTTTAGATGTTCAAATAAGAAATGAACTTAAATAAATAAAGTCCCTAAATGATACTGCAAGAAAGAGAAGATGGTAGAAATGGAAACAGTTGCGAAGCAATACTGGTCAGCAATGCCAATTCAAAAATGCACACTGAAGTAGAAGTGTTATTTGCTATAACAAGTTTTCTCGTATTTCTTGCATGCCAGGCTACATCTCTGTATCATTATTTTTCACATAAAGTTATCACATTTATAAAGAAATAGGAAATAAAAGAAACAAGACAACCAGTAAACATTTCGAAATTGGTGACTATTGCTTAAATACTGTTTGAACAACAGAATTACGATACCGAGAAAGCAAGATATTCTGTATGCTGTTTCCTGTTTCTCCGAACTGTCAAGAGTGCACTAGCGTTATGAAAACGAATCTCTAACACCTATAAAGTATTTAAAACATTACTTATAAATTCGTTTCAACAAAATTCATAACAAATCTCTTCAGATATATGAAAAAGAAAAAAGAAATCTCAACACTCAACAGTAGCTGCCGTAAAAACGACACATCTAAATCACATTCAAATCCTAATATTGCTAGATGTCAATCATCAATAATTTCGCATTTGTAATTAATCTATGTCTAGATCTTTAAGCCATTATGCTAATTACTTCCTTTTTCTCATATAACAAAAAACCCTTGTTAGCAATCTTTGTTTTACATCAATCAAATGTTCTCCGCCGGATTTCCGGTTGTTAGTTTAGTTCTATATATAAACCAACCAACCGTCCCCACTAACCGTTATTCATTCTATGTTTTTGGATAGTTTTTGATAATATTTTAATGTTTTACAATTATATTATATCTATTCGTTGCGCGTTGTTATTGATTTGTTGGTTTAATTACCCAAGTTTGAGGCAAAATAAAATATCTGGCAGTTAATACATTCCATGACAGTAGGATGCACTGAAGGTTCTAAGTAACCAAGAAGTTTCGGGTTCAACTCTCTGAACCTCGAATCTAGCGAGTAAGATGGAATTAATCTCATACCCTCCTAATGCTTCTCACATTGAGAAAGACAAATTTCAATCTTAGTAAGTCATATAATCCTAAGGCTAATATTTGGCTTCTTCTTTGTCTTTGCATTACCATCAAGTCAAATTTAACAAATCACAAAGTGAAAGAATGACTGCTGTGAAAATAACACTATTGTCTTATACTGAAACAATGAGTTCAAACACGATTCCAAATATTTCTGTTTCTAGAAAGCAAAAGCATAAAAATATGAAAAGAAAAACAGTTGAAAATTAAAAGCAATAGTGTTAAATAAAAATGGACGACTAAACCCAAATGTGCTTCCCATTTAATTACCAACCTTCATTTTCGGGGATTGCATTGTTGAAATCACATGTTCAAATTTTCTTTAATCATCTGGAAACAATATCTTCAAAATTAGAAAACCAGGAAACAATATTTTCAAAATCGGAAAAATTGGAAAACATATTTTCAAAAAAATTTTTATTGTCCTGCTACATACAGTAACAATGATTAATTCACGCACATGCTAGAAATCTTTTAAGTCAGGCAAAAACACAACTAGGATCCTAAGTCTAGTAGTTAAAAAGAAAATATCAAATAACACTGACCAATGAATAACTTACTGAACTTTAAATTAAGGGATTCACATATACTGAGTAGTTCCTTAGGCCGATAATTCTTCATAGTTATTCTAATGTTTGGATTCGACACCACTTTCCTTATAACATCGTAAATATTGTTGCTAGTACAATTCTGAAGATAGTCATACATGTTTAAGTTTCAAATTGCAAGATCAAATTGTGATAAGACCTTGAAGTTTAATTTGTACCTTTCCTTATGGAAGACTACAAGAAAAACAAATTTCTTATTCCGATTTATGAGAAGTTTATACAGATTTCTTTTTTCTTCGTTGTCTTACTATAAAAACTTTGATACTTTGTGCTTTGTTTCTTCCAACTTCTCGAAAAAAAGATGCTCGTCATCCATAGCACTATTAGCACAATTATCTCCATTCTTATTATAATGAATGTTGAAACGATTTTCTCCCCTACTACAAATTCTATATTCTTGAAAAATCTGAAAGAAGTGATTAAGGTCCACTTTTGTAAAAAGAGAAATGAGAATTTTGTAAATCGGAAACTCATTAAATTAGTTAATATCACGGGAAACACATACGACATCAAACTGCATACTGAGACTAGATACTTCAATATATTTTGTAAGCATCCAGTTATATTCGACAATAAACTGGTACTTCGCTGGTTTTCTGAAATTAAAAAAGGACTATTAAAGTCACTGGTTTAAACTGTCGGTGGTTGATAAATAATTTAGAATTTTTTCAATGTAAGTCGTCCGAATCATTCAGAAGGATCTTCCAATGTAAGTTGAAGAACCTGGCTACTAATGCTGCATAATCTTGCTTTGGCTTATATCTTTCATGGCATACAGCTGCAATTCTTCCTAATTCTGATGACCACACCCAACGACCATATCCTTCTTGATTTTTTTCTTGGAAACATATATTCGTTCTAAGCTGAAATAAGTTGTTTTGTGAACAAAGTTTATTACTAAACTGTATTACCTATTTGCATTGATAAAAATTTATAGGGAAAGTTATGAAGACAACACAAAAAGGTTCTCAACAGCAGAAGTTATGTCTCAGCAATAAATTGCAATTCTTTTAAATGAAATGCATTTGAATAAAATGGATGAAATATTTTTAGAAAAGCATAAAACTTGTTTTCTTTTTAACTTACAAGAACAAGATCTTTGTAAACATATGTGGGCAGAATTTCATTGCACTGTCGTACAATCTGATAAACGTTTTGCCCAGCATTGTGTAAAATTACCCACGAACCCAATTTTAGCACTTCTGATAAAGCATTATCCTTCAATCTGATCTAAAGACACTCGAATTAAATAATATAATATTGTAAAACATTCAGATTCTAAAGCACTCACTTTACGTCAATTAAAGTTTCGACTTGGAGTATCGTTAAATTTATACCGCTTACATCATTTTAGTAACTAATCAGTTTCATACGATCAAATTAACTTTGTTAGAAATAATGGCTGAACTTGCCTCAAAAGAATTCATACCGATCGTTGGTACAATTACAGAAATGGTAAACCACTGATTCTCCAACATAACAATTACTCCTTTTAGTGCTCTGAAATTCAATGTTAAAAATATAAATGTTGTCCTGAATTTTATATGCAATATCCTACCTTATTTTACAAGAGTCCCTACCTCGATAAATGGAGTTTCTCTGCCATACTCCTGGTTAGTGTGAATCCTGTGAAAAAATAAAAAATATTGCCCACATATGCTGTAACTTTAAATGTAGCAGATTTGCGTTACTAGAGACGATTAGGAGCTGAAAATAGGGATAACTATAACAAAACTAATTTACATGAGAAAAAAATTGCCAAAATTGGGGAAAAAGAAAGATGAGTTATTTAAGCATCCTGTTCTTTTTTAAGTTCTTTCTCTCTTTACACAAAGTTTACTTGCTGGTCATTATTTCAGAAGATATCACTGAACTTTAGTTCTTGAAATGCAAAGCCAAATAGAATCAGGTAAATCTAACAATACGATCAATATTTAGTAAAGCGCACCACGGATGTTTCAGTTCATTATAATGAAGAAGGATTAACATATAATAAATGTAAAATACATCACAATGATAAATATAAATATAAAGCAATACTGGGGGATATCGAAATTGATTACAACGCTAAACACTGTAACATTTTACATCTAATATCATTGATAATAATCCTGTGTTTCCATCATTGCTGTTGTAAACTATCGCTCCAAAATTCAACCCAGTATTTTGAAGGGAAGACTAGCTTAAGAGATCGTAGAATCAAAAACTAAAAAAGACATCATCTTGAGATTTATTGTAATAAAATCATTGTAACTGGAAAGTATCTGCACGTCCAAAACTGAGCTGAGGTACCACACCTTTGGCTTTTGGCTCTCTCAAACCAAATGATTACCCTACTCGTTTATTACTACTAGATTTTTCAGGAAATCCAAAAACTACTTAAATATTTCTGTTACTTTCATAAATTTTTATTGGCAACAGTGAAAAGAAGGTGAAACTTTTCAAAACTGATTTTACTCCTGAAAACGAACAAGTAACAGAAGAAACCGAATTACCTATACCCATTAATGAACAAAAGGAAAATAAAGAACTAAAAGTTAGTTTTCGTCATTTTTTAAGCAAGCATTCCAAAAATCGTGTACATTTCTAAACTTCATAAATACTACGGAAAACTTCCTTTCAGTCTTTTATCTCAAAAAAAAAAAAACAGTTGTTAGCGTATGTTGCAGAAGCATAACGAAAGAAGTTACTATTAAAGATAACCACAGAAACAACTTTACAAAAGTAAATCTAAATATCAACAGGATACACCCAACATTATGGAAGGTAATAAAAAACAATAGTGATATAATTCGGGCAACTGAAACATTCAAATTATAAGGGCGCTAATATTTCGAAAAGAAAGCATCTAATTTGCTTTAAAAGTTTAAAAGCAAGTGAAACAACTTTTTTGGAAGCATAAATACATGAATATTTAAAAGTAAATAAATAATGGAATTTTAGAACTTGAGTTGCAACAAAAAAAAAAAATATTTTTAAATTCAAAGTGGCAAATAATTATCATCATCCACTGTTATTTCTTGCTTACGCACCTCGCGTTCGTAGAAGCTAATCACTAACTGAAAAAACAATTAATCCTTATCAAAGGATTTAGTTAAGAATATTGATTTCATGTAGAACATGAAGAAGGGAGGCATTTAAAAATCATTAAATTATACATTCTATTTAACATGATAAGCTCATAAAAATGACTGATAAGTGATATCTATCTCATGACTTGAAACAATTTTCTTCAGAAGGCAGTGGATTCCAAGAAATTTGAAAATTGAATTCCAACAAAAATTTACCTGTGGCCAATACTTGGTACATATTGAACTTGGTACCCTTTCAAATTTTTTCTTATGTCTATATTTAACAATGTACGTAAGAGGGAAATCGTCTTCTGGTTGCTAAAAAATACGAATGACTGGAAGTCATTATTTGATGTATAATTAACTTTCTCTCTTTCCCATTCCTTATTAATTTTACGTGAATAGTTTGAGGCTACAAAGTATAAACGAAGATGTATTTTTTCCAGTTTAGAAGTAGCATCAGAAATTTCACCCACTTTATTACAATATATTTAATTTTTTTTTGCTTTATAAAAAGAAAAAAATCAATGAGCCTACGCAAGCTGCGACGATCACTTCTGGCACCCAACCTTTTTCCATTCCACTTTCACCAGGAGGAGGACGCACTGAAAGTATATATAAAGTCTTTTGGTGCGAAGTAATTTCAAAACACTTCGATAGAGACACAACTATGTTTTTGAAAAAACAGAAGTGAAATGAGAAAAAACATGATGGAACTGAAATAAAAGGACTTCTTAGTTGTCGACTCCTCTCATCATCTTCACTTTCGCTTGAATAAATGTAGTCTTCTGTTCGACACAAATCCTCGGAAGCTGGACGCTTCAAGGAAATGGCTGAACAAGTGACGCCGGGTCGAGAAGCATGCGAAACCTGTGATGGAATATTATAGCAGTCAGGGTCCGCAAACGTGGGACTATGACTTCCAGAACAGCTCATTTTGGGTAACGGTTTTCGTGATTTTGATTTAGAACTTGTAATGCCCATCAGGTTTTGCCATAATTCATTTCGCTGCTTTCTCCAAGTTTCTCTGCAGTGAATGTGACATTTTGCAATAGGGCAAACAACATTTTTAAATATTATAACAGCAACAATGACGTTGACTTAAGACATATTTTCGAGATTAGTTAAAAATTAGTTAAATGTTGTTTGCTAATGTCAACATTTTAATTATCTCAGTACCAAGTACTAACAACAGTACTAAGAATTGTTCATAAACGCTTACAAACGCTACCTACGTTTCTCCATTTTCTCGGATGTTACATAAAATGATAAAAGATTTGTCCTCGGATATTACATAAAATGAAAGATTTATCACCACTACTACCACTGCAGTTATGAAAGCACAGAATTTACAACTAACGTCTTTAATTTTATCTGAGTAAGATATGTTGAATTCTGCATGTAAATTACTATGACGTTATTTATGCATTTCTAACATCGATCGAAGAAAACAATAATTTTGACTATGAGACACAAATAAGTAAAAACTTTTTGATAGCTTACTTTTGCTGCGCATGAAATTCTGCAATTAATTCATCGCAGTCCTGAAATAAAACTTCTTTACTAACATACCCAAAATCTTGTCATGACAATCTACCATTGAAGTATCTCACAGTGACTTCTGGAGCATACATCATCAAGTTTCTATTTTTGCATAGATAAAGCATACAAAAAGAGAAGACAAAGGGGATGGGATTATGAAATATGTTTAAAAAGAATTAGCAACAAAAATGAAAAATACATCATAAAAATACATTAATGGATCGCATCAATAAAAACACAAGAAAGGACAACTTAATTTACCAAAACTAACAATAATGTTCTGAATCATATATTTACGATTTGTTAAGCAGAAATCGTTTCCCCTAATGCTGACTGAATAACGTCCTTAATTTTATATGAATTTGTGAAGGAACTTTACAACATGGAGGGCATTTTTGCTTTACAATGGTTAAAATGAAATTATGATTGTACTATAGTACTGAAAAGGAAAAGCAGTGGTACCAGATTAGTTTCAGGTTCCCATGTATTTTCTGCATCACTGTATCCTTTCCACTTCAGTAGATACTCCTTCATTCTTTTCCTTTTGTTGTAACGCTCTCCAAGGATGGCCTCCACAACGAATTCTCCTTCTCCAATCTCCTCATCATCCATTTCTTCGTCACTAAAAATTCGACAGGTAATTAGTAGTAATTACTGCAGCATATTTCAGATCATAGAATGGCTATTACCGCCTTTTAAGGCATTTGAATATGAGAGCTGAGTAGAACTATGGATAACGAAAAGTAACCAGTAAATGTACTTCATGGCCCTGAATAACACTGGGCATGCTTATACTCTCCTCTCGCCCATTCCTGAGATAAATTTCTGGACAATTAATTTAACCTCGAATTATTTACCTGATATTCGATATAGAGCATAGGGTAATCTCAAGGAAAGCTTGGAAGTAAATACATAAACTGTAGCGAAGTATTCCGGCAGAAGGACAAATCACTAAAAGAAGTTTGAGCTGTTGGAGTGGTTTTCGTGGAATTAGACTGCCAGAGAATGCTTAAATTGTTGTACCTGTGCTGCAGTAGTTTTGTCTGAGAATCTATCTTTGACTTTCTGCTACATATTCTTGTCATCCAAATTGAATGATAAATATGTTGCAGGTAAGTGATGTATGAAAATGTACCTATGGAAACTGAAGAAAAATCAAAGAGAAAACGGGGGAGAGCGTGTGATCACGTACGGCAAGCACTGAAAAGATGCCTTAGAGTAAGTTTATACTTTAGCTAGTAGAGAGAGAGCTGAAATGATTCGTTTGTCAAGTGACATGGACGGTGACATGGACTTTTTGTGCAACTGAAGTTTAAATTAGTGGATGCTTTTTGGACAGCGGAGTTGGTTGATAAGATCATAGTGAAGACAGGTGGAACTTGATGTATGTTTACTTGATGGAATATGCTAGACTTGCTTGACATTTAATTTTCTTCATCGTTCATACATTAATTTCAATAACCTGAGGTAGGTCACAGTTAGGAAAAACTTTAAATGTGTTTTATGAACTGATTGAAAAGATGTGAAATCATACACTAAAATGCATACTTGATAGAGCAGAAATGTGATTTATTTGCTCTGTTGTATGTAAATGAGGTAATATTTAGTGGAGCATTGGGAATTCGGTCTCTGCGTTCAAAATCTGCTCAAAAGATAGCTTTTTTTACTAAGCTGATAACAAAATCACACGCAGTAAGTTGAAGAAACATATACTGTTCAAACTGTATTTGGAAGATGTCTCTTTAGGAATCGGACTGTGTACAAAAGGAGCATCGCCAAGCAATGGATTGCTTGCGCTCACATGCTGATAGTGTTCCGGCTCGATGTTTTCAATTATTAGATACATTCGCTCAATGTAAATTATCCCTCGTTAGTCTTTGTTTCTGTTTTTTATATTTCTGTATGTATATTTAAGGAATAAACTGTAAGTAATGGCAAGTTTGTAAATGGAAAGTGATTTTCGTAAAACGGCGCGTTCTTCTTTGTAGATCGATAATCGTTTACGGACACGAGGACGAAAATTAGACATTCCGGATACACAAACTTCTCGAGAATGAAAACATTTGTTATGTGATGGTTACGTGAATGCTTAATTAGTGTAGAAAGACCATTTTCAAATTTTTAAGTTTGCTTACTATGTTCGGATATTTTGGTGTTCGTATTTACTAACAGTGATGCACATCATAATAGATAACTAACACCTTCAGACAAAAACACGAAAATAGAATCTATGATTCACGAAAATATTTGCAATTCAACGTTCCCAAATGTTAGGGGTGATAAGAGTGCCAAAAACGAGTAGGCGTGGATAGGTATCGAATCAAAAAATTCAATTGAAATGCAGAAATCTATGATGAAAATATTCAGCACTACTCTTTATATTATAGTTTTTCAAGCAGATTAATTTGCAAATTGTTGTATTTAGCAAGATTTAAACATTGATACCCATATGCTGATAAGCACTTCGTTTTTCTTTATGGATCTCACCTTTTTTCATCTAAAGCTCAAAACATTCATAGTGTGGTAAACCAATTAGTTATTTTCAAATGTTCATCTTACGTACTGAGATTTTCATGCAGTACTGCAATAAAAACTAATGAGGATAAAGGTCTGAAACTGATTAAGGACTGGAAATCATAAATTAAGATATATTTGTCCGCTAGTACTGATCGACATCGATCCCTTAATGGTTCGGCTAATTAGATATCGAACCCATCAATACCATGTTTTCTTTAGTTGTCATAAAAAAAAATCAGCTCGGATACTTCGATATCACTCCTAACTTTCACTGAGTAAGATCCTTTTAGTGAAATTTTAATTCGCTGACATGGTCAAAGTTGGTATCTGCAGAAATCAGGACAAAGCAACTTTTATTTGACATTTTCAAAAAAGGAATTTCCAAGAATCTACGAAACACCACCGAGCGGAAATCCGAACACTGAGTGATATTGTTTTAGTGAAGTGTGTTAAAAATGAAATGATTCTACTTTGGCGGACTGCAAAAATTATTTTGTAAAATGGAGGAAAAAAATTTAAGTGAAAGACACAATTACACTCAATGCATTTCCAGGGCAATTCTATGATAAGCCTCAGCATTGAACTGTATTTTCTTGTGCAGATTCAGAAGCCAAGCAAATTAGTCGTGTAACTGATATCTTGGCTTGAATAACTTAGTTAGTGTACTCGTTTTTATAAATTTTCAATTCTATAAATTGAGAAGAAATAGATTTTGAAAAGATATTAACAGTTGGAATCAAAAGCAGGATTGCCCCAAAAAATACCCAGTGCAATAGTGTTGCAAGAAGATAGCAAATGAAACATATAAAAAGTAGTCAGAGATGCTTCCCATCGGACAAGATGAAGTACTAATCTTGAAATTGATTTCACGAAAAGAAAATGAAAAGAGTATTCTGAGAATCATGCTTATAATGAAATAGTTACCCGACAGCAATCAAAATATACACACAAGGATACTTCTGAGAAACTAAAATAAATTCTGAAAGATGTGCAGAACTTCCTTGCGAGTTATTTTTCGAAGCAGAAAGTTTCGAAATCAGAGTCTTTATCTTACCTGCATTTTTCGTGATACAGCAAATTGTTGGAATACCCTTCCAAGTTTGTTCTGATGTTCAAGCAGTTAAGGAATCAAAAGATGATTAGCAAGCTATTCTGCCAAGTAAATTAGGCAACTTAAAGAATTTCATATTATGAATGGCAAAAAAAATGAAGAAAGTGGGCAGCTATTCATATAAATTAAAAAATAAAATAAAAATAAAACTGTAAACAGAAAAAGGCAATAACGAGATTTAACAGTCTGATTTGAATATCAAAGAAGGGTGAATAAGAGGACGGTAGTTATTCAGATATTGTATTACGAAAAGTGATATATATTTTAGATTTCATAACATATCAGATTCATCATGTACCGAAGAACTGAGCTTTGGAGGTTGGCTGTTGAGTGATTGCATTTAAACATATCGAGGGTCTGAAAATATACAAAGTCCATATCCACATATCCTCATTTTCAGTAAGATTTTTGATTTTATCTGGACTTGACGTATCCAAGTCGTGCTGTTGTCAAAATAATTGATTAGCATCATTATTAAAATATTGCAATTGAAAGATGTATTGCACATGATGTATTCGAGGAGTCCTGCGAGTTTCTCTCATTTTTCTAAGATAATATTTGTCAGAAAAAACGGAATTATATAGTAATATGTTGAGATAAAATTGTATTAATCCATAAGATTAAAGATCATCTTAATTAAATATCTTTTAGACCATTATAAGACTCATGTTTCAAATTGTATCTCATGTAAGTAATCATTTATCCATTACACATCTTCCAGCTGTAGCTGAGCTTACCTGCATTGTCTAAAAATTTTCAATTGTTAACAAAGAGTATGTGTATTGCTTAATATGTTAAAATTACTTTGTTCGGAACCAAATCTACTTTAATGTCAAAATATTGTGGAGGTTTTGACAGTCATTCTTATCAACAACCGACATAATGTTAAAATCCATTTCTTATTACATAAAGAATAAATATACTACTGTCTACACCAGCGAACTACAATTCGGCTGCTCTCTCGCACCAGTTAATTCAATCTATTTAAAAAATCTTTGTTTAAGTTTTCCACCATTTATCGTATATCATAAATCTTCAAGTTTTATGAAATTATCAGTATACTGTTGTCGCTAGAGAATAAAAATCGTTATAATAGACTCCTTCTCAACACATTCATTTGGGCCAACTCCAAACCACAACCAAGAAAGGTTCCCTAACAAGTGCCTATGATTCCTCGACATTAAAAAAATGGATAACATAGATTTTAATTTCCAAATGTTCTTTTAAAAAAGTCACACAAGAATAATATTTCTGCGTCTTACTATAATTCATAACTGATAGCATTTCTGTTACCATAGTATAATATTTATCATGCAACCATTACACAAAATATTCCGCTGTTTGAAATCAGTCAATCCGTCATAGTCGTAATCTGTTTTTGAAGAAACATTTGCATTTGATGACTGAAAACTAACAAAAAACCTTTTATTATTATCATTTATGTCGTTGCTGGGCTCGCTTGATTACTCGCTTCTCTAGAAAAGTGTCCTTGAGGTAATCAAGACCAAGAGTTGGGTACTTCTCCTCGGCCAATATCTCATCCAACGCTAGCCAACATTTCCGATTAAACAACATTGACTCATACGTATTTTTGCTTTCGGGTAATAACTGTGATAAGTATCTACAATAATGCGCATAAACTAGTTAAAGACGGTTGGCATCAATGGAACAGAGATCAAAGAAACTACCAGCCCATGTAGTATTTCTTCCCGAAAGAATAAAATTTTTAAAAACTTGCTCAAAAACAGGTACTGCAATTGTATCCATGAATTCAAGCTGCAATTTTGGCACGCATGCACGGTCCCGGTCCATCATTTCTAATGGACGATTTCCCATCTGTTTTTCTAGATCTCCTTGAGAGAAAAATTCCTTATAAATATTTTCCTAAAAGTGATGACATAAGTGTCTCAATAGATTTAAAACACTAATGTTTCTCTCTCTCTCTCTCTCCCAATAGACTAGTGTCTCAATAGATTTATTAAAAAATAGTCAGTTAAGCATTGATAAATAGAGTCACATAATCTGTATTCACATAATTTTGTTTCAATTTAATAAATAAAAATTGTTTTTCCTAAAATAAAATAAAAATTGTTGACAGTTTCAGTACGATAAAGTTAAGAGATATTTCAGAGAAATTCGCTAAAAAACTTTGATTTTTAAACTGTATCAACATGAATCAAACTTACAGCTATTGCCTTGCTATTTCTGAAATCTTTTGTCTGGTCAGATAGATCAGCTGAGGTCATCATAAGGCATAGCAACAAATATCGATGATGCTTTATTGAACTGTCAAAGCCAACTGAAACTCAAGTTATTTAACTTTTAGTAATTCTATAATAGATGAAGATCGATATTACGGTAGTTATAATTGGACAAACGCATTCCATACAGAGCTAGATGAAGTACTACCTTTTATTCTTGCCACGCACTGTGGATATCATCCGCGACAGTGCGAATGGCAAATTAGCAAGATTTATACAATGAATGGTCCAAGCCTTGACATGCCTTAGACTGATACTCATAGCATACCCTGCTGCAAACTTAATTTTCTCATACAAAATTATAAAGTTTCAGGATAGTTCGGTCGGTAATTTTGATGGTATGTATTATAAAAAAAGCGACCATGCCTATTAAAACTAAACCAAATAATATGTCGTATTCAAAAAATTTATTATTTCTTCCTTAGCCTCAGTTAGTTCTTCTTACTTTCATGAAAAGTTCTTTCTTTTTCCAAAATTTTCTATGATCCGGGAATAAATAGTATAGTACTTTTCATTTTTATCAACATATTCGATGTGACAGAAAAAAAAGCTTCAAAATGAAATCCAAATTCCTCAGATACAAATTTCTTGTAGACCAATTACTCACCTTCAACCATTCGATTAATATCTTGCACTTTCTGTAAATGATTAGCTATGTCGGTTGCGAGAATGATATCCCGTATGTGATCCAGGACTGAATGGAACTGCTTAAAAAAATAACAGTTTTTGACTACAAAGTGAGTGCAGCTTACAGAATTTCTACATTAAAGGCTCTAATGATTCGGATTCTTAACTCACATACCAACAGAACATAAGTCTTTGAAAAATAATTCCACATTGAATATACTTACTACCCATGGTTATAAGATGAAAAATTCTTATATATAGGTCAAATCACATAGATATGAAGTAAAATTCGAGTAGATTTTCGACTTTTTTAAACCGGTGCGAACATATTCAAAAATAAAAAAACTTACATGTCGATTTAATGAAACGAATATATTGCACTCCTCCATATTTAATATTGATATTGTTTGAGCAAAGTGATGCCTCTCCAATACCGAGCCTTCACTGCTGTACAACTGAGCTAGCGGTGTTCGCTATAACGACACCAAACGGAAAAAATTTTTGAAGTTTCTCTATTATTATCACGTACTCCCATCACATATTGCAATTATTCACTCTCTTAATATGACTTTAAATCTCATTAAGTTGTAAACCAACTTAGGCTATCAGATGTGTAATAAGAAACCGCACATTACTCTTACATTTCTTCAGTAAAATTTAGAACAACCATTCGAAAATTTCCCTTTATCGTAATCACAAAATACCCTCTATTTGATAAGCCATGGAGAACAGTTTGCGAGTATCTATGATAATGACTATCTATCAGGTAACTATTTTATTCAGGTATCTAATACAAGTGTAGAAAATTGAAACCGACCGACTGTACTTGGAATGCATTCGTAGTACCACGATGATCGATATCATGACATAAACTTGCTACAAAGAGAGCAAAGCTTTCCAATTCATTCAGTGCATTGTGTGCTGTTTCAGTTCGCAGTAACAAATACGTGAAATGAGCAACAGCAAATGCATGAGACCAGTTGTGATAAGGCACATCACGGTAACCCTTTTGAACCATCAATAAGAAACATGCTAATGTTTGCCGCTGTAAGCGAAATCGCTGAACAAAACCCAGATCCTGAAATGAAGTTTTAGTTTGGTGTGACGCATCCCTGAACATCGATAAATGATTAAAAAAATGTTTTTATAAATCCAAATTATAACTGTAATTCGTTTATAAATATAAGACTTAACTGCAGAGTAAACTTTTTCTATGATAATTTCTAGTAAATTTTTGCCTAGAATCTTGAAACCACTGTAAATTTCGAAGACAGACCTTGAAAATGGACAATGCTGCTTCAACATAGATATCGCCTGACCCAATGGAACGTGGTGAAAAATTAAAATGATCGAATTCTGGAGCAAAAGAAGTCGCTGATGGTATATCACCTGCTGTTAATCGTAACAAATCTTCTGGTGCGATCTGCAAATGAAGTGAAAAAGTTAACTCAACATCCTAAGAATTAAGTATACTATTTCTTACCACACTGTTGTAAGCAGCAGTTGAAAGGAAAATAATGACTAGGACAATTGTATGAAATTATATCAAGATAATCAATCTCCTTTATTATCTTATTTAGTAATTACTCGTATCAGTATCACAAATACATCAAATTGCAACATTATTACCTACCATTACTCTTATTATCCATTTTCTCCATTATTTTCAGTTGCTTTTTCTAGAGTAGCTGTGAAGGATATTTTCATAAGGAAATAATATTTTGCACAACTGCATGTATAATATGTGCACATAAACAAATAATAATTTTCGTATAATAACTAAAAAGTCAAAAGTATCACGGAACTTAGGTTTATTTCTACTATATAAACAGAGCCACCATGGACTAACAATAATCACTTTGCATTTTCAATTTAGAGAGTTTTTAAGCGCATTCCGTATCAGTTATATTATCAAAACTGCTAGTATTAAGAACTCTTATCACTGGAATATTAAAATATGACATGTCTAACGCATGTAAAAACATCACCTAAAGGAAACCCACATCCACAGATATTAAAGTATAGAAGCAGTAAAACGAAGACTAAATAGTAAACTTAAGGTGCCGATCAGTCAATGATATATGTGTTCCGTCTAACCATATTTCATTTTAAAAATTATAACTACCAATTTTTAGTTTAGGTATAATGTCTTCTTTACTCTTTCCTTAAACAAAACATAAACTTTACCGACAGCGTAGAACCTTGTACTAATAACTCAGCGGCCAAATGTGATCGTCGATGAGCCTCTTGTAGTTTCCGATAAAGAAGACACTAAAAAGAATAAGCAGAATATTATAATGCATTGTTGTATATATTAATTATAATAATGTACATATAATACATTATGTAATACATAATGTACATATAATACATTAATACATTAACTCCTCGAGAGCATAATTTTCAAAATCAGTTGTACTTCATAAATACGCAGAACAGTATTAAAACCCAGTGCAAAACTGATGAACTTCATAAGCATAATACTTTTTAGAAAGGGACTGCTCACGACACTGCAGTCATTACAATTTATTCATATAACATTTCTGATCTGAACTCATTAAAAACTTATTGCTCAGTAAAAATATTTTGGACAAAGAGAATAAGACTAAAACAGATAAAGATACAAGTGACCAAATGGATTGGTTGTCTTAAAGGAAAAAGTCGCAAAAAAAAAACAAAAAATCAAATCAAATATGAACTCTGACATTTTTAGGAATTAATCAAACAAAGAGAAGTAAAAATTGGGAAGTAAGTTCAAGTAAGGAAATTATAAGTTCGATTCGTCATGCCCAACCACATAGTAACAAATCTCGAAATGATAAATCCAATTATCTTAAAAACTGGTTAATCAAAAAATCTTACATGTGATATACTGATAGCACAGTATATTGCAAATGTCATTGCAATTTGTTCATCGTGCTTCGTAAAGGCAAGCTTTCCAATTTTATTACATAGCTCCGCCACACCAACAAGGTTTCCTGTGATTCTGCGGATGACAACAAGTCAAGGATTTTGTTAAAACCATAAAGTTAAATTGTCAGTTTTGCAAAAATAGAGGAAAAACTGAAAATTAGAAGACTAACAAAGAACCTATCTGCAATATTAAATCTTTTTACAGAAGATTAAAAAAAAAATGGTATAAATACTTTACTAATAGAAATAATTTGCGAGTTTCGTCATAATCTTCATGCATTAAAATATGAGGAAGTTTGGACAAATACTGGTTATCTCGAGAGAAGTACAGTCATGCAAGTTTACATTACTCTTACATATACTCCTACCAGAACTATCTTTGATCGGGAAACATAATATGTTTCGTGTAACGAAACCGGTTCGTTCGTCCACTTTCGGGTAGAAAGCTGGATGACTGCAATCAGAAACATATCATAAAAACTATCGGAAAAATATCTCACGTAAATGCCTTATTTCTTCACCAGATATCTTCATAATTCATTTTATCATAACTCTTTAGAAATGAAATGTAACATTTACTAGAGTCAAAAAGTTATTCTTTTATGAAGACTATTATCCATTTTCCATGTAATCAATTGGAAAAGAGATTTATTGCGAAAAGTAATGACGAAGCTTTCATCTCCCCTCGCTATATCTGTCCGAATGCATAATTCAAAATGACCATTTATCCTTAATGAATAAAAATTAATAACCTATAAGCTTCTTTGACATTCATCATTTGTCCAGTGCTTGCAACCTGTCCAACAATGCCCAGTGACAATGGCATTCTGATTTCCGTCAGATATTCATCATTTGAGCCATTTTTTTCGAATACTTCAGCAACCAGTTCAGAGTTTTCACGATCAAGAAGAAATAAAGAACATCTGAAAAACGAAAACTGATCATAGAGAAAGTGAGAAACAATATTAGATCAAAATTTTCAAACGAAAATCAAAACTTTGAACCTACATTTCGGCATGCACAAGGGTTTTGGCTTCTTTCGTTATATTTCTCACCAATAAGTTCATATCTTCTAAATGAAAGAAAAAACTTTATGAAAGCAACGAACAACAAATACCTAGGTGAATTATTAATCAGGGGACATAACTAAGTTAAGTATAAGTTTCATGATAGCTAATAGGAAGCAATATGTGACAAAACCTTTAAACAGATTTTCAATTAAAAATCAAATGTTGAATGTGATTCAATTTCGCTAGTAAAATATCAGTTCTCCTACGGTAATCACGTCAAATTGTGTTTCTCATTCTCTCTGTTTTTCTATAATGATGAAGTTTTATGGCTTTATGATTTCTCAAAAATAGAATCTCAATATGACAATATTCCGATCCCGATTTTCCAAAGATCAAAATTGAGGCTTACGTAAGCTGGAGAATACATTTTGCGTCATAGTGAGAAAAACTTCGGACTGTTGCGCTAAACGTTTCTGCTCTTCAATATTAGCAACAATGGACAGTAATGCAGCAATTAGGTGTAAATGAGGCATTACGAAACTTCGTTCCGCTTCCACTGTACTAAAATTTCTCTTTCGGAATTAATACTACTATAAAAATTATAAATATTTCCTGTAAAATAAAGAAATGAACTACAAAAAATTGTGCCCCTTACTATTCTCTTCGTTTCTTCCTCTCTTTCATTTGGAAATCTTTTTAATAAAAAAAAAGATGATTCCAACTAACTCATAGTGAAAGGTGGAAAATATTCAGAGATAGATAAAAGAATCGTATTTTTTTCACTGCACAGAATTATTAATTTATTGAACTAATACAAAACTATTATTCCTGAAACAATTAATGAGAACAGAAGAAAAACGCAGTGAAAACTGGTTGGGATCATCCAGAAATAAAATTGATATATTTTAAGATTTAACACCATTAAAAGAATTAAAAGTTAGGGTCGATAAATAACTGAAACTCTCGCTGTAGTTTCCTCATAAAAATAGTGAAGGGAGCCATATAAAGTGCCATTTTATGTGAACATTCTCTTTAAAAAAATTTCAGAAAGGAATTAAAAGTATAGTAATAATTCTCTTGAACCAAAGATTATGCAGAATTAAATGTCCATAAAAACAGCCGAACTCATCTTTCTATTTTTCTCCAAACACCAACTTAAGGTTGAAGTCTTACGTGATTTTTCAAAACAACAGAAATCAAAACTGTTTTAAAAAAGATTAAAAACTCTGCAGAAAAAAAACTTTTAAATAAAACATACTACTCATTTTGATGTATTAATAGTAGGCCAGCAACAAAATTACTCCGTGCTTGTAACAAAAAGATGGTACCACTGAGGGAACTCCTTAACAGATTTTCTCCATCAGTACTCTTTTGCACTATAGCATATATCCTCTCTCGAAATTCCTGCAATTTGGAGAACAAGTAAATAAATTAGTTACGTAATAGAGTTCTGCGAACTGACGTTAACTGAGGCATTAATTGTCAACAGACTGTTAAAAACAGTTTAACATACATAAGGCGACTGCTTCAACAAGTTAAATAAATAAAACATCATCTATTATGAGCAATTTATGAGTGTGGTAAAGACTTGTTCGATAAATAAAAAGATTTAATGGAAGAAATAAACTTGCAATAAAAGACATCCAGTAAAATATTGAGCTGGGATATTAACTGACCACAATAATTAGTGTTGTGACAATTTTTCTTCAAGAAAAACCTTACTCGCGATGATATTTTAGTGGACAAAACTGTCTTTTTTCAATATTTTAACCTTGAAAGGAAAGCGAGATATATCAAATCGACGAATAACAGCGTAATTGAACTGTAAGAATCATTCGGGAAATTAATGAGATATGACACAGGAGTAGTAAGGAAATATACGAGATCAGCTCATATATAAAGCATATCAGAAAGTTCTTGCATCAACAAAGATTAAGTCACTCAAGTTCTATACATGTACAGTTACGTATTATAATTCTCCAACATTGCTATTTAAGAATTGGAAAACAAATTTCGGAAGCTTACTAATATCATAAAAAGAATGATTACTACCTATTGTTAGTGATTTTGGAATTTTGGATAAAATTTATTTTTTCGAAGGAAGCAATTACTCGACAACCTTCATTTGTTCACTCATTTTCCACTTCCAAATCTCGGAAAAAATTTCGTTTTTTTTCTTGTCTTGTCCTGTACAAAGAAAAACAACCACATGAAGTGGAATGCGCAGCTGCACGTTATTTATGTATGACTACATCTTGACACCTGCAAAAGAGGGATGGTCACTATAGGGAATCGAACCTTTTTCTAATCCTCCATAAAGAAAAAAGAACAACTTCTAGAGGTGGTAAAAATGACCTTATTTTTAATTTCGAATAGTTAGTAAGCTATACGATAAACAAATTCTTTGCAAACTTCTAGTATGACGAACTACTAATAGAAAGCAAAAATGTGAAGAAAGACAAAAATACAGTTAAGTTGAGAACATCATATGAAAATGAAGGAACTTCCCACATGATTACCCGGAAAGGCTAAGTAGGTGGAGTGAGGCAGGTGATTAAGATCTTAGTAAAGAGGTAATGCATATACAAAATAGACAGAATATTAAAAATGTATACCATTTTTCTCTTCTGTGATACTATAATATAAAAATTTTGTTTGTCCCATGGCGGACCAAAAATGTGAGCAGTCGGGATTAATTACCTATTAGTGTTTCTTAACACTTTCATACATTTGCGAATATTTCACCTTTGGAAGTATATCGCCTTATCCATTAATGAACATTATGTTCGATTAATAGATCGCTTGGATGTCTCTTTAAAACATGTTAGAGAAATTCATAAACAAACAAATCAAAGCAAAAACAAAACTTGCCTTACTGAGCATATCGATATCGACATAAATATTGAGTGCACGAGCTGTACAAGGTGGGAGTGATAAATCCTTACTGTTTGCATTGCCGTTAAACAGTGACCACAACACATCAGCACCACCCTTTAAATGCAAAATTTAATAAATTAAAAACTTTGATTACTTTTGCAGAATTACTTAATGAACAACAAGGAGCTAATTAATTAGTTAAATAACCAATCACTTTTGCTAATCGTCATCATTCTTTGACAGAAAAGCAGCACTGACAGGAAATTATTCCTTACTGACATGATCCACATCTTATATCTTTCTCAACTAATCTCGGCTATCAAATTCTACATGATTGCAAGATCGAAAGCTGCTAGGGCACATCAAACTAACATATCCCACTAAAAGAAAAAATGACCAGAAGCTAATGAAGGAGATATAAAATTTCATTTAGAAGAATGAAAGCAGGTGGAAGCTGGAACTGCACAAAAAAAATGAATATGCTTTCTTCGAAACATAGAAAAAGCTGGTGAGGAATTGATGCATATATATGTACACATAACACACCTTACGGGAGTAATAGGATTGTTTTCTGTCAAAAGAAATCATTTTTTAAATTTCATTTGTCGATGAACAAGAATAATTTTTTCGTAGGATTTTAAAGCCAACAGATTCAATATTGAACGAGAACGAGAATGACGATCAATATTGAAAGAGAATGAGGATGGAAAAAAGTAGATGGTAGATTAATGAGAATCTTTTTGCTTCGCATTCCTGTCAGCTTGCTTCTCCCTTATTATCAAGATCTTATAAAGACAAGCATAATAAATTTCGACTAAACGGGATGGGTTATAGAATTGTCAAATCAAATTGCATTTAGCAGAAGGTAACGAATTTTTGTTTCGCGTCATCTCCCTCCTCGCTCACTTTGTTCCAATCTTCTTTATCACTTAATCTTTTATGGCACTCACACTCACTTTTAGAAAGGAAGATGAGACATTTGTGAGTCTGTTACTGTCGCTGTTCAAACTCTCCCACTATAAAGCTGCTTAGTCAACCGTAACCAAAGTTGACAATAGCTCTTCAACTGATCTGCATTTGAGATATTTTCTCTCAAAAAGTTTCATTCATCTAATTTCATTATGAGAAAAAAACATTTCTTCAGTAAGATGTCAGTATCAACTAACCTGCTCAAATTGTGTCAATCTTAAGAAAATGAAAGTTCGGCTGCTGAAGTTATCACAATATAGTAATCTCAATTCCGTGTGTCTTTTCAACTAAGCATTGAATCTTAACTACCAGAACTGCCATAGAATTTTCTAAACAATTTCGCCATAGGAAACTAAATATTTAAAGAAAACATCATTCAGAACTTACACAGTAGATTGGTTCTTCCAGCAGTTGATTACCACAAACCTGAAATACACTGAACATGAATTTCTTTCATATAAATAGAAATCATTTAGACGCACTTTGTTACACACTGTGACAAAGCAAAAATTCGTGGAAGAAAGTCAGGAAAATACTTAGATGATGATAAGAAGGAATCCCTGAAGATTAATAAATCATATGCTGCCCAATTCTTTTTTGAATGCTGAGAAGGAGCCATCACTGAAGGGATTGTCCTTCTGCTCCATAACTGCCATGTTACTGGATATGATATAATCAAATGACAAATGATATTCTTGACAATTTTCTCAGATCTAATGGATATGGAACAGAAGCACTGTAGGAAGAAATTATTCATTTCAAGTATATTTTCATATGACAGACTCATGCATTCAAATCACTACTATGCACATATCTGGTTTCTGTAAAACTTCGCTACGTATCCGTCATTGTTGCAAGAACCTTTCTAACCTCTTTAAAATGTCATTTAAGCACAGTAAGGTAGGTTTCCCAGTCCCACGGAAAACTATTCCCAAAAGGCGATGAGTAAAAATAATGAGACAATTGTAAAGAGTATTTTCGGCAAAAATGACTACGAATGCTTCTTTATCACAGGCACACTGATAAATGCTAATCAGTGCTTCCTAACAATATAAAAATATTAACAGTTGATTCCAATTAACAAAACCTTAGTGATAAATATGAACAACTTCAGAAATGATATGCGCGCTGACATTAAGACAAGCTATTTAAAGTGCATGTAAGAAAAGCATAAAATGTAGTAGAACTTCTATTCCAGAATGTTTCATACTTTTTAGTTAGATTAAATAATTACTGAAGGGGAAATGATTGATATTCTCTTTAAATTGTTTTGTGAAGCAAGAAATAAATCATCAGCGATATTACTGATATATAAATAGCAAAATGCGTTTTGTATTATTTATTTCAATCACGAGATAGTAAAGACAGTCAGTCTGAGGTATAAAAGTTGAAATAAAAAAGATAAAAAATAACAGTGCCACGGACACCAAATAGTCTTCTTATATTAGTGTGCTACACTACAACCATGTATATTTTTTGTAAGGAGATTGTTCTTGTATAAAAATTGAACTTATATTAGTTTAGTTCATTATGAGACAGAGCGGTTTATCTTGTGGCAAACTGCTATCTTGAAACGCGAAATAAATCATTGCGCTGTTATTTAATCAATGGGAAATTAAACATATTTGTAATTACAGCATAAGAGTAACTGCTACGAGTACGTTGTGATGAATCAACACTTGTACCTTTATCACCCACGATAGTGTTATGGAAATGATAAATCCTAATTTGAAATAGAGTGAAATCTTAAGATGAGAACTGGCGGTCTTTAAATTCACATAGTGAGAACAAATAAACATAGAGATGAAGAGTGGAAAGAAAGGGAACCAAAAGAAATAAATATATGATAGTGGTAAACAAAGGAATCAAATCAAACAATTTTTTCAGAGTGATCATAAACTTCGGTATTTTTGTTTACAGAATGTACGGGAAACAAATTTTCTTCGTTTTTATATTTTTTATATTTAATATTACTACGACTTTAGTATATTTGATATTTAATTTATTAGTACTAGCAATATTAAATGAATAATTAACTAGTAATTTTAAATGAATAATGAATATTTAGTATTGCTGCTAATAATTAAGTGAATCTGATGAACAGTGATATCGAAGGCAGTAATATTAAAAGATATTAAATGAAGCTGCTGCTGAATCAGCTGACTGTTTTGTTGAAGTGGGAAAATGAACCTGATATGAATAATTACTGGTAATTAAGTGCAAAAACTATTGGTTTGACCAAATAAATGAGGTCATGAACTTCTTTCAAGTTTTTATGAAAAGTAAAAACTATTCCATACAAACTTATACTAAGAGGATATCGAAATGGAAGAATAACAGAAAAATTTTCGATCATTTTTAGAAAAATAAAATTTACTTGGCAAAAGCAGGAATTACATTCTTTTGAAATGAGCAAAAACGCCGCTGTTCGCGCACCCGTATGAGCTCCAATCTGTAATTTTTTTAAATTTGAATTTTAGATCATAGATCTGAGCCACTGCCATGATTTCTAGCAGATATTTAAATTAAAACAAGATATTCTGAAATAGAATGAGGAGCAGAAAAAATTTTCGGAATTCCTTCACCAAAATATGATATGACACAATCACAAAGGAACATTTTAATAAAATATTTCTGCAATCCCATTGCCGAAATGGAGTTTTTCAAGCATTTTTTGGCACAATTACTAAAATTACATCAACAGGAATTTTTTTTCTGAGATCAAAGGCATTAATTAAAATCATACATAGCCCTTTTTGGAATATATATGCAGTGTACGTATCACCGTGAATAAACAGCATCTCACTATATAGTGACTTGGTCGGTTATGGAAACTGGGAAATATCTCCTAATCATTTTACCTAATTCATTTCGCTTTACTTGAAACTCAAAATCCACACTGTTGAAAAAAAAAGCATGATTCCTCTTTAAGTTGTCCTTTTCCCACCGATTTTTGAAGGTAAATTTCTCATTTCAAAAACCATTTAATTTTAAACAAAAATATACTAATAATTAATATATATCAATCATAACATCATGATTTTTTTTGTAACTGCAACTGTTTTTTTAACGATTTCGTCTGCTTCGTAACTACAACTTTTCATCCACCTGTAATCTTTTCATTTCGACTCATTCAAATTTTGCAAAAACTTGAAAAAAAATATCGTTCAGCATCCATTCTTTTGTTGACATCCTTCTACGCGAACTTCAAATGAAGCAAGTAAGTATTTCAGTTTCCTAACAGTTCGAACAATTTTTAGTTTAATACCTTATGGTAATTCTACAGAGCTATGGTATCGATGTTTATTTCTGGAAATTTTGTTTTTCTAACTTGCTAAAATCGAATTCTTAAAAAAACGACTTACCCATGAATTGAGTACTTGTTGGAAACGGATCATATCTGGATTCTCGGCAGCGATATCTGCAGTTACACGACTTAATTCATCAACACCTTTACAACGTGCGTCACATGGCTGTATGCCAGCAAGTCCAAGTTCTGCCTGTCGCCTAGTTCCGATGTACAATTTAGAATCACTAGCCGAACGTGACAATGTTAAACGTCGAGCCCGAACGACGGTGACATCATATGATGCCAACGTCATTTTCCTAGTCGGAATGCCGTTGGCGGTAACCGTAAAAGCACTTTTTGATTCATGCTGTTCAGTAACAGTGTCACTGATTGCTACAGTACTAGCAATAACTGATATTGGCGTGATGTCAGTGCTACTAGCAGAAGTCACACGAACACGATTACGACATACGGAGTACTCGAGTGTCTTCTGTCCGGTTGATTGTGACAGAGAAGATGACGAAGAGTCACACAGAGTATCAGCAAACAATGGTGCATTTTCACTTTCTAAGTCGTTTAACAGTTTCATGCAACTTGACGTTGAATGATAATATGTTGCCGGCTGTCTTAAAAGTGAAAACATTAAAGGAAGAAGAAATGTGAAAAGGGTGTGTTATGTGTAAACAACTGCCATTATAAATAAGTGACTGAATGGTTCATGCACAATTTAAACGAAAAATTTAAAATCAGTTTCTCCGTCTAGTACAGCTTAATTATGAAGTTCTTCAAAACCAAGCATAGCGTACTTTACGAATGTTTTACTCATAAAATGAATTTACACGCAATGGCTTTCTAGGTATGCCTAATGTGGAAGAACTTTGTAATACATTCGTCGAAACTCCTCATACATCCTACGATCTCTTTAAATTCATTCCATTATCAATAAAGCAGCCACTTGTAATCGCACCCGCATATAACAGTTTAGGAATTTTGGAAATGTCTTTTCCCCACATACCTTTTTCGTAAAGCGTCGCCCATTTTAACAGGTAACGATAACGGTGGCTTTGCTGGAAAAAGACCGTCATCCAAGCTACAACCAAAAGTATTGTTATTGCCACTGTTATCACTACCATTTTGACCATCACACTGGCATGCTACATCTTTTACAGCTGTTCCTTGTTGCTGAGGTACAATAAGACGAAAAACATGCAATGCGGATGCGAAATTAGAATAACTTTCGTGTTGCTGCTGTTGTTGACAATCGGCTATGACAGGACACGCTCTCGTAACTAAATTTGGGTAATCAGATAATATAAAGCATGACGAATAAACTGGCTGATGATTACATCCAACTGATGAATTTTTTTTTCATCCTGATTCAGAAAAGCAGCCCGAATAACAATTTTCTGATGTCTGATATAAATAATATTAAAATGAGAATACAAATCTCGATCACAATTGAGTGGCACTAAAGCTCCTAGAATTTTCTTACTTCTTACAATATTGACAAATGTTTTCAGAACTTCACTGATGCACTACAGAGAAACAAACGATGTTTCAGTAATGAGGTTTTAAGCGAAAACTTTACATTGCATTATTAGCATTTTTTTCACCGATACCAACTAGATCACAAAATTATTAGAGGCCAAACTATTTAAAAGGAAATAACTGTCGGAATGTCTCATTAAGGTCAGCAATATTTTGAGGAAATGACACTAAATGTTCTATTCTAGCGTAAATAAAAAAGTGGCAGATGGATAAGGAAGAACTAGTAATTAAGCAGCAATAACAGTGTATATTACTCATTTAGAAGAAACTAACAAGTCAGTATAATTAGTTGTCTAATCTCTGGCATGTTAGCATTGTCAAACATAAGACAGGATTAAGAAACCATCTGAACACTTCATAAATGTGCAATGATTAAAATAATCCCGCTTCGATCACAGGATAGAATGCTGCAGTAGGGAGCAACCTGGAGACTATTTTTATTTCCTTTTTTTTACAATAAATAGTCTATTCCTCCCTTTTATGTTGTTCAACCTGATCGTTTAAAGTCCGAAAATTGAAAGGAACTGCACTAATGAAACTTATGTCTAACAATCAGCTAATTTTCACAATTGAAAGTGCTGAATATATAATTAAGCAGTAATTAAGCAGCAACAATAGTGTATATTACTCGTTTAGAAGAAACTAACACCCCCTTTTAAAAAAATAGTCGAAAATTTAAGGGAAGAAATATAATCGTTAAGCCGATTATTTAAGAAAATAAAATTAGTCGTAGGATTTTTGGATAGCAAATTAGACCGGTATTTCTTCTGATAATATCAATCATGAAACCTCTTCAAAACTTAAAATTAATTAACCTTTCCCTATTTTCATTAATCTTTAAAAACATTTCAGAGTATTTAGTAATTCTGAAATAAGAAGAATGCAAAAATACGAACAATTTCATATAGTAATAAATAAAGCAATAAACACAGAAGTGCTCATCTTGTTGCATATACTTTAATGAACGAAGTAAAAATTTTTTAGAGTACATAATTTTTTTTTAAAGAATTAGAAAATTAATTTTTTGTCAGTTCCACAAGATCCGAGATAAACCTACAAATTACTGGAAATCAATATCTTTCATATTTTTGCCGTATATTGAACAGTACATTACACAAACAAAAGCCTTATAAATCACGTTAATATTATGGGATTTCATCCAGATGGCCACAGTTATGGATCAACATAAAAACATGCTGAGGAAAGAGACATGCAAATGTGCTTTTACTTATTCTTCAAAGGTCATGATAGTTCATATCCATGAACTGAATAGATGTGACAAGTAAGCCCGTACAGCAAGTGGGGGATAAAAGTCCTCGCTGTTAATTTCGATTACTCAACAAATATATTGTATCACTTCTTAATATTATTAGAAAATTTCACTTTTATGTTAAGAGAAGGAAATCCTTCCTTCCTCTCCCCTCTCTCCCAAAGAAAAAAAAAAGAAAAAAAAACTGAAACTAAACCATTACAATTTCATGTTTAAAACATATGAAAAATACGTACATTGTTAATAATTAAATGTAATTAAATATTATTTACTAATATTTAATTAGTGACTAATAATACTATATAATAACTACTAATAATAATTAAATGTTATTTAGTAATAAAATAATTGCAAAAGGAAAATGAAAAAGCACTATGATTTGGTTAGCTAAGCATCCCAAAAACCTTTTTTGCTTACTAGTCCTGGTGCAATGAAAGATTATAATGAGTAAACAATTACTAAATTCCAAACTTGATTTCAAAAGATATCTACTAAAAAACTTTTTGTCCAGAAGTTCTAAAAAAAAATCTCCCTTTCAATTCGTTAGAAAAACATACGAGAAAAAGACTGAAATACGATAAAAATAACTTTCAGATATCCGATTAATGTCGTTTAATGAAGCAAATTTATTCTTATCTGTTAGACGAACCTAATAATTCTGGCAACAATACTTGATTCCGATACCCCTCAGCAGATGACTGTTTGCGCGATTCCGGGTCTGCAAAGAATGCAAAAAATGAAATCAATGCATTTTACTGCACTTGCATTATTCTTTAAATTCCGATCCTTTAAACGAAAAAAGAAAACCCTATTCGTTTCTTACTAATTTCTAAACTAACTGTCCCCATGAATTCCAAGCAAGTCTTAAAATGACAAAACTATGATGAATTTTTATCATTAAGAATGAACCCGTTATAAATTATGAACTTTTGTACCTCATAATTTCATATCATGTAATCTTAAACACTAGAGTTTGGAGTAGGAAGCTAAAAGGGACAAAAATACTGTGCTAATATTTTAGTTGATTCGTAATACATAAAAAACTCTCCTTCTCGTCTTCCCTCAATAAAGCCTTAATTCATAAAGTAATCTGCTTCAAAAGTTCGAAATTCTCCCACAAAATTTGAATACTTTTAATTATCAATGTATGCTGCAAGAACAACCACTTTTTGGAGAAAAACGCATGATATAAAATTTCTCGTAAATGTCAGCTAACATTTCTACATCTATTCAACTCAAGAAAAATCACGAAGAGAATTTGATTATTGAATAACATTTCGTAAGTGAATGAAAAAAATTAAAAACGTTACTAAGCATTTGTTGTTTGAATCGGAAAAAATCTAGTATTTCTTAAAACTTCGAATTGAAAAAAAAAGAATTTGGAAGAATGCTACGATATATCTACTATCAGTTAAATTATATGATCTACTTATCCTCAACGACAGCAAGCTGAAGTTTCATGTAAATTACTGTATCACCTCTGAAGTAAAGGTAACCTATAGGTTTATATTTTAAAAAACGCTAGGGCGGTTAGATCTTCCGATTCTTTACATTTGTAAAAAACTGAAATGGAACCGGAAGTAGAACTGGAGGTAAGATCCCTTTCATTATTTATCAGGTCAGCCAATTAATAAACTCGGACTTACCCAAGTCGGAGAAACTATCAAAAGATGCGAGATGATCAATTACGGGATCGGAGGGTAGTGATTCATATTTTGGTGAAACAATATGTTCAACGGCATGTAACTTGCTAACGGGAGATATTTTCCTTCCATGCTGCTGACCTCCTTGTGTTACTACAAAAAATTTGAGATGACATCCATCAAATTTCTCAGTAGCAGAAAAAGGCAGGAAAACATGATTGACTATATAACATTTCAAAAATTCAAAACTTCAGTTTTGAAAGTAAAAAGTTTGAACTTCAGCTTTTTTATCACATAATTATGAGAGATTAAATATAATTTTTTCTTCAGTTATAATTTTTATTACAGCAAAATAAGTATTTTATTAAAGACATCACAGACCACAAGCTTTTAACTATAAAAAATGAAAAGAAATTACAATATTACCAGAGGAAGATAAATGTGCCGAGATGGTACCAACATACGTACTATTTTCACCGTCATCCTGGTTTCGTATACCACAACAAAGCCAATCGACAGCTCGTGAAAACGCCGTCGTGCTAATTCTATCAGTTTCAAACACATTTCAATACATTAAATTCAAGAAAACGTGCTAAGACACGACGGCAAATACACGATCATAAGATGCATATGCAATAAAAGTAAATCAATAAACCGACATTTAATGAGCAAATAGTACTCGAACCCTGTTACTATTTTAATTGAAAACACGAATTCAGAAAAACACTTTCGTTCCAAATTTAAAAATCCTTTAATCAGCAAATTCATATTCATCTGTTAAATTTTTTTTAAATAATTTTTTTTTTAAATTTTAAAGCACGAGTATAACTCTAATATTCCAAGTGAAAGAACACAACAAAAAATAAGCTTCCATGTACAACAGCTTATTCTCATCTTTCTTAGTATGCAATTTTAAATGAAAAAATTTTCAAAGAATGACTTGTTTGCTCATCTGTTGTATACATTGACAAGTTAAGCAAGCATTTCTAACACGTAATAAAGTTAAACATAAGTCTTTAAGCCATTTTCATGTGTTCTGTATGCACTGAAATAACTCAGATTTATAATAAATAAAATAATTAATGACAATAATAAATAATAATGAAAGTGATAATAAATAATAATAATTAGTTATATTTGTAATAATAATAATAAATTAATAATGAACTGTGGAAACTGTAACAGATATATGAGATTAACTTAAAATGAGATTTTAAGCTGCGATGAATACGACAGTGCATCCAACACCGAAAATTCAAAACTTTGAAGACAGAAACCAACGGAATGTTATGATACCGAGATATTCAGACAAAAAATCGGAATGGAACGAATTTATAACGGAAATGAGCTCCATGGCTTTATGCAGTTACATAACAGAGACGACAATATTCATTTTTTTGCTGATATTGAAGTAAGAAAAATATCTATATATAAGAGTAACTTCCTTCCTTGGCTACGAAGATTTACGCTCTTTGAGCAAATGTAAATTAAATTAATGGTATGAAAAATGAAACAATATGTCATATAAGGGCAAAAACGTTGAACAAGAGAACAAATAACTGGTGATAAACTAGCTTGACAGATTATACGGCAATAACAATTTAAAAGTAGCAAATTTTGAGAGAATTCAGACAGATGAAGCAAACTGCATCATTTCAGAAGTCCACATGCACCCTAGTGAAATCTGCTCATACTTGAAATAAAATAGGATTTAGAGTCTTTGCTCGCATCTGAAAACACTGAAAATCCTTTATCCTCATTCAAAAGAAGTATGGTCATTTAAAGTAATGATAAACAGTTATCAAAACTCAATGCCAAGGAAAATAAAAAAGAGAGGCAAAAGTTTTCCTTCTATTTTGTTCAGGAAAAGTTGTCGTGTAATTGAATTCACTTTATTCATTACATTTTAATTTTTTTATTCATAACTGCCATGATAGAGCGCCTTGTCTATAGCCCTGTGCAACAATATAATAAAATAAAACTAGCGCTCAGTATTTCAAAGTAACAAATTAATTGGAGGAGTTAAATGAAATCGTACGGTAGTGGCAAACGATCGGAAATCCGAACTGTTCAGTAAAGAGGTCGAAATCCAGAACTTTTTGGTGGATGTTGCTGCTGAATTAATATGATAACATGATGTATTAAAAGATGCAACAGATCAAATCTGTACAGGTGTTCTTCTAAGACGTATCGAACTGGATGAGTATATGCATGTATATTGCTATTTCTAACATATGTGTATATTTCAGGTTTGAACTCCTTTTCACAAAAACGACGAACATAATGTAATAAACACTGATAGAGAGGAAGAGAGAGAGAGAGAGAGGGGAAGAGGGAGAACAAGAACACACAGTAAAATACTATTTCTCAAGTATTATAAAAGTGCAATACTTAGCATTAATTGAAGAGCAGGAATTATGAGAAAAGTAGTTTGTGATGTTCTCATTTCTTCTAATCAATACTTGTTCTCCTCTCCTGGCTTCCTCTTTCATAAAACCTTCTAGTACAAGCGGCAAGGGGAAATACTAAGCTTTCTTACTAATGTATTCTAACGTTTCGAAAAACAAAATGTTTCCGTTAGATATCACAAAGAATAAAACATGAAAAATGATAGACCGAAATTTTATTTAAGCATTATGCATTTAAGCATACAACCGCAGGACAGAATATCTGTGTAATATAGCACTAAGAAGTCTTTTTTTAAACCGTTGGACAAAAAGAGCATATAAACAGATAAGAATAGAATGTAAATATGAACCGAGAATTACATGTGCAATGAAAACAATAAAAATTCACGAAGCGAGAGTAGTTGTGCAAACTGAAAATTATCCTCAGTTACACATTAGAAATTTCATAAATTAAACTAAAACAACTAAAAAACAGATAACAAACCAACACAAAACAATAAATTAAACAAAATAATCATAGTGACTTAAGCCAAAATTAAATCTAACCATAAAAACACAAGAAAACAAATAACTAACACTAAAGGAATCAAACATTTATTATTTTCTTAATTAGTCATTCTCTGATGTCTCCATCTTAGATTTGGGGTTTTTTTATTCATTTTTTCTTCATTGTTTGTTATTCCTATTGAATTGTTTTTTGCTTTTTTGCAAAGTTATATTTTTTTAACTTTGATTTGTATGTTTTTATTAAATATAATTTAGTTTTAATTTATTATAGTAGTTTAAGTTAAGAATTTTGTTTTGATAGGACAATGGTTTGTTATAATTTTTTTTTTTTTTTGGCTTTTTAGTACTTTTTTGGTCATAAAAAACACCTAAAAACCACGACCTAAATTAAGAAAAATCGTAATCAAAAAAAATAAAAACAAAAAAATACAAAAACGAAAAATAATAATAATTATTATAACAACAACCAAAAAAACTAAAAAAAAAAGTTAACAAAGAAAAAAAACCAATCAAAAAAAAAAAATTAAAATAGTAAAATAATAACCCAAAGAAACATAACAACTTATAAAAAAAATTCCCAAACACATCATAATACAACTTTTCATAGGATCTCAGTACAAAAAACTTAACAAAAAAATAAAAAAACTAAAATAAAAGAAGCAATAAAAGAGTTAAAAAAAACAAAATAAAAAATTCTAATAACTCCAAGTAGAACAAAATCTTCAGTTTTGAAAACCAAGAGTTTAAAAATTAACCTAAATCTACACTTACTATAATAACCATATTCTACACGGCGGTATTTGTAAGGGTATTCTTACCAGTTACCTTCCAATACAAACTAAATCCTAAGACCTTTTCTAAAAAACAACCAGGAAAGGAGGTACATTAGAAATACAGGAATGACTATATCCAACATAAAAAGAATTTTAAAAAAGTACCTGAAAAAACTAGAAAAAAATAGAATCAATCATTAAATAATACATAAAGTTAGTAAAAATTACCAAGAAAAATAGAATAACAGTTCTATTCCATTCTTTGGGTTATGATTTTCTTTTTTTTTTTTTTTTTTTTTTGAGGCATTTGTTATTTTTTCAACTTACCATGAAGAACAGAAGATGACAAGAATGCTGAGAATGAGTAAAGAGAGGAAAATTCAACTACAATACCAGAAATTTCTTTAAAAAATTTAGAAATTAGGATTTATGATTGAATTAAAACTATGCAGTGTGTACTTCTCGGAGAACGAACTACAGCTGCTAATGCAGTACAGAGATTCTAACTAGTCTGTCCAATAAAATCAGAATGAATCTATCCAGATACAAATACATGACATGAAACTGACCTCCTAAAATAGAATTTCCTCCCCCTTAATTTCATCTACCATGCACATTTTTATTACTTCTCAGCTTGCACCATATGCTTCAATGCTTTTCCATTTTCTGAATACTTTTAAAGAAAATGTTATCAATGAATCAACAATCATACCCTATTTGCTTTCTTTCATTTCTTTCACTATTATTGATGGAATTCTCCGTGTCATTTTGGAAACTAACGTTATTCGGTAATAGTTGAAATTGCTAACTAAGTCATTCAAACCTCTCAGTGTTGACTGAGGACAAAAGAGAGAAAAATCAGTTTAACAATATCTAATAAAATGATAGTCTAACAGGGCTACAAATAAAAACAAAGATAATAATGAAAATAAGAGCGATAATTCCGAACACCACTTGAAAGCCCCACACTTCGTTACTTCAATTCTAAAAATCAATAATTCCAAAGTAAAATGCAATAAAAAGAATCCAATAAATTAATCCAGAAAACCGATCCGAATTATCAACAATCTCAAAGCTTTCCAAATACTCAAAACCATTACGAAAATAAAAATTTTTGGAGACTAAAATAAAAAGTTACTGAAAACACATAACAAGAGAAAAGGAGTAAATAGTGATTCTACCAAACTTTTATTTTTGTTGCTTATAAACCCACTTAAGTCTAAAAGTAGCTGATAACCAATTGTCTCTTTTTGGTCAGAATAAAGACTGTAATAAATAACAAGGAAAGCAAACAGACGGGAAGAGACAGGATGAAAGGATCGTCCTACATTTCTACATCTCATTCATACATCAATAAATGGTATTCCTGAATTCTCATCTGCTGCACATCCACAGTCAATCTTCATCTCAACCACACTGACATTTGACCGAATGCATCTAATCTTCTTGATTTTATTCCTTTCCTTAACAGCAAATAGTTGCTCTGTCCATACAATTTTCGTAGGGAACATCATAAAATACAGCAATATAAGCATTTATCTAATCAAATAGCTGCATCAATCAATTACTACATTAGTCTGCTTCTTATTGTGAATGTTCCTTTACATATACAAATAATTCCATTTCCACATGGTGGTATTAAAGAGACAGAGTCGTAAAACATTTTGTTTGAACAGAGAATATCTCCCTGCAACATTGTATGCTATGAAAAGAATGATGTGTTTATGAGATAGTTAATGAGAATAGGTGATGACGGCCCAAATGAGAATTGAAAAAAGTGACAAATATGCTGCACTTGAAAATCGAACCGTGAATGTTAATTACAGGATGTCATTGACTATGTGTTATTATCTTCCATAACATGTCATAGTCGACTTCAAATGAAATATTTACCATCACTTCTCTAAAAATCATTGATTTCTCGCATCAATATTAATTAGTGGAAATAAAGATGAGAAACTTATTTATGTAGAGAAATATAAGTAGGAATTATAATTAAAAATATCGGAAATTTATAAGAATATAAATAAAAGAATATTTAACCAGAAATTTCATTCCTAGTTAAAATTTAATAATAGAAAGAAAA